ACTGCTACAGAAAGCGAAGCTGTCAATGGCCATGATCGGCTTCTGAGCCAAGAGATACGTGGAGGACTACTCCACATTTAAAAAAAAAAAAAACGGAAAAACTATCAAGGATCGGGTTGCATGTAGTTGCACCCCACTGAACCACACCATTCAAACGCGACATTCAAGGATAATGAAAGTACGCGATTATCACATGAACATGTTCACTCGGTTCGACCCTAACAAGCGATGACGTGCGATAATTATTTGAGATATATCCGGCAATAATTACAAAACTGTGGACAATCAGGGAATCCGCATCCAAGACACATGAAAACATCAGGAGGTAAACGATTAACAATTTTACGACCATGAATCGAAAAACCTCCATCAAACTTGAGGCGAAAATTAACTTTCAAATGGAAAACGTGGTCTAATAAAAATTTGAAGCGTAAGCGGGAATTTTGGCTTTTTACCGTAAATACACAATTAGGCCGAATTATATTATATCGAAGCAGCGTCGGCACCTGTCGACGCGGTTGCGTGCATATAGACCGTTTTTTAGAAGAGAAAACGTTCTGATTCTCTAGCCAGAGTGCACACGAAATAAACATGAAGTAAAAACCATTTCCCTGGCACAATAGAATGCCATTGTATTGAGAAATGAACAAAATAGCAATTTAAGAATTTATGAAGAATATGAGAACCGAACATTAATATAGAAAAAAATGAAATCTAGTATTAAAAAAAATCGGGGGCAGAATAGAAAGTGACCGCGGCCTTTCTTTAATAAGTTCTCCTTCCCATTACGGCGAGAGCAACTTGATTGCAGGTTTGGAGGATTCCACGTTATATACAATACCACAGAAAACTATATAATATAATTAAGTTTAACATTTATGTATAATCAAGAGAGCTCGTTTGGGTAATGTCTTGAACTACCTTAAAAGCTTTCACCTATTGTTTTATCAATATCGACGATATTACGTACTTAAATGCATGATTGAAGGTGAGTTGAAAGTTCATCATGCATTACGATAAGCTTGAATATACCTGCTATTGGGGAAACTAAATGCAAAGGTTACCTGACCAAAGTGTTCGCATTAAAGTGTAAATACAAATCCCAAGTTTATTAAGTACACATGTTTATCAAAAGATAAAATTCCGCATGAAATAAGCAGAGCTGAGAACAAATGCGATAAATTGAATTTAAGGGGAAAATAATTTATAGTTTTTAATAGCTTCATCGTTCATTATGTAAAATGAATTAAAAAATTGGCTCCAAATTCTATATACCATTAAATTATCATGATATATGAATAAAAGCTACAGTTTAAAACACTAACACAATGTTTTAAGGATAAGGCACAAACAGGCTGGAATGATACTGGAATTCAATGGATTTTCGTTTGTAAACGAATAAGTGTTTCAAATAAATATGCCCCTAACAATAATATTTGAATAATAAATGCCCCTAACAATAGCGCATTGTGAGACTAACGAATTATCGACAGGCGATATCATCCTCTTTTCTCCAATTCAATTCAACATTCAACAGTAAGAAAAGAAGTCGACCTTCGTATTTTCTGGTCGCATTATTTGGACCAAAATGTCGAGCGCATCTCGAAGAGGCAGGACTGAGCTCAGCAAGCAGTGCATGCGATACGAGGTGGGGCAGGCACTGCTGAGCCATGACCTTTCACACGAGCCACCGAGACTTTCAAGTTTTATATCCACCACCACCACCACCCATTCATCCAAAAGACACCCAATTCTTAAACCCACTCTGCCAAAATAGTTAATAGAGAGGCTATGAAGAGCTTTTGCTAAAAATAGTATCGAAGAGATACGGTTTGCCATGTGACACTATATTAATTTCTTAATTTTGTAAAAGTTGCAAGCCAACACTTCGACCCTCTCAAGTCTGAACAATCGACTACAATGTAAGAAACGAAGCGACACGAATTATTTTGTCACAATCACTCAGTCGCAATGAAAATCATAAGGGGCGATAGAGTTCGATTGCGACTGGAATGGATGTGAGACAGATTTCGAAATTGTGAAGTGGAGAATTCGAAGGACGTCAAGGACAAGTTTCATTTAGATGAATGCCAAGTGAACGTTGTATTTAACCAAGTTTGAATTCTGAATTCCATTTGGTTTGAGATTGACAAAGTTGCCCTGCAAAATTACTGATAAAACAAAATAAATCGAATACGAATAGAAGCACACATAATTCTTCTAAGCAAAGGCGTAATGATGAGGTCAATGTATTATAGTGATCGAAGAGAAAAATATACAAAGAACATATAACTCGAGACTGGGGTCGAAAACGTCGTAAACGTTTTGAAGATTCATCGGAGGAATCAGCTTTAGTGCACTGCATGGTATTGCAATCGTTCCATAAATTATTCGACCTTGAAAGGGTTGAAGGATTTGGGAGGGCACTTAGCACTAACGACCACATTACGCTTGCAACGCGCGCTTCCTCGAAAATGACAATCCGGTCGATTTAACGCGTGCATAAATAAACACTTCACCGGAAGAGACAAATTGTACAGAAAAAATACCAAGACAGTTTTGCCGTGTATTGTGGGAGGGCAAAAATGACTTTAATTAACGTTTGTTACTTGCTTCTAGAGAAAATTGGTATATACGATGGGCCATAAAGGCTGGTATTTTTTGTCATCAAGTTAATAATGAACAGGAGAAACTTTAGACACAAACACAATAATAATTTAAGCAGGGCGTTCGTTGGTTTGCGCAGGTTCATTTCTATGGAGCCAGCAAGAGTACGTATTTTTATCGAAAAAGTAAGCAGTAAACTAAAAAGTACGTATAGTTGTAGTAAATGAATCTGGGAGCGAATTAACTATCGAAGCCGCGGCGATGGAATTACATGTGGTAATACAGAAATATTTATTAAAATTTTGCGGAAAAGTGCACAAAGAAGAAAATATAACATATAAAACAATAATAAACTTTCTACAATCTGCATCCTGGGGCAGGACTTATGAGACAACTAATCTGGGTGGGGCCTTGAAAATAAAATAGCGGCCATGGCGACGGCCTTGCAGCCCAGATGTCCTAAAAAAAATCTAAAATTTTCGTGCAGATGAAGTTGTTATTTAGAACATGATATTGATCCAAAAACATCGCTTTATATAGATAACCGTGAATTTGGCCGCAAATAACTTTGTAGAATAAGGAAGGTTGAATTGTAGTGATAAGCGAGGCCATCAAAGGAGATTGGTCGAGTGACTTATTGTGAGCGTTGCCGTAACCATGCAGAGATGGGATTCTTACTATTTACCAACTCAACAACTGAGGTGGTCGTTTCTAGTGATAACACCCTTCCCCCCTTCATATCTTACGAGTTACGACTCAAACGAATAAGGTTGTTACTAGTGATAACACCCTTCCCCCCTTCATATCTTACGAGTTACGACTCAAACGAATAAGGTTGTTACTAGTGATAACACCCTTCCCCCCTTCATATGTTACGACTCAAGAGACTAAGGTCGATACTATAATGATAACACCCTTAATTTTCCCTTCTTATTTCACGACTCAAACGACTGAGGTCGTTCCAAGTGATAACCCCTTCCCTCCTTTTCATTTTACGACTCAAACAACCAAGGTCGTTAACAGGGATTTGACAATTACAATTTTACGACTCACATGAGCATGGCTGTTCCAAGTGATTGAACAACAATTCCGATTTATGACTCACATGAGCATGGCCGTTAGTTCGAATGAGTCCAATTATGCAATAACGAAAGATCTCATCACTCGTCGACATCGAAGAGCCTCGGCAGCGTTAGGTCATAATCTGCAATTGCCAGCCCTTAACTACCTTGCTTAGCACACCAGCATATCCACCAAACATGGATATTTCAGTGGAAGTCAGCCTTGGAGATTAATGCATTTAAGGAGTTGAGAAATGGCAATAATTGATCTTGAAACGTTTGCCAATTTGTTCCAGCAAATCCAAACCCTTCTCCGTGTGAGAATTGTTCATTGAGTAGACACCAAACTGAATATTAGAGTACGGGAGTACCACATAATGACATCGAGATCCTAAAGATGATATTCTGATTGCAATCTTCCATTAGAGAAAATGTCATATCAAAATAATTTCAATACATAGTTTGCTCAATTCATCAAGCTTACGCTTGACCACATAAAATTGAGTACTAAAATTTAAAAATTCAAACTACTAATCGGAGATGCAAAGAAGCTTTCTTGAAAGAAGGTTTCGAAGAGTCGTCAACCATGAATAAATTTTGTTTCAGGTGCCAAGCAATTATGTAACCGACAGAGAAAAAAACACCATTTGAAGCATTACGAGCGAAATGGTATTGTATCATTCAGCTTGATGGGCTCTCATTTTGGCTACGCAGTATATAGGCTGAAACTGTGTTACCAGCTCAGGTATTCCGGTCAGGCATTTTAAAATTATTCAATTTCAGCACACTGAGGTAATCATGAATATGGGGCGTGGAAACTTAGAGCTGAAACACACTAAGCGATAGAAGGGTGGAATGTAACATTGACAGGTCGAGCGTAAATTGCTATTGCTCAAGGCATTGGTAGGTTACTAGATCCACACGCCGAGCATTTATTTGACAGATCTTGCAGTGATCATTCGTCATGCTTGGCGAGAGCTTCGCCATTATTGAGTAAGGTGGGGTGACTGGGGGTCGCTCAACAACTACAAGAAAACCTTTCATAATTCGTTTGAGAAATTTTTAAAACATATCGGAATTACAGGCAGAGTAGATTGAAATGTTACAAGCGTAATAAAACCTGGTTACAATTAAGTGCATTTAAGAGAACTAAGGGTCGAAGGACTGAAGCAGAAAAATGTCCATAATGTAAAACGTGCCGGAAGAATGTCGCTTCAAGAAATTTTAGAATAAATAGTACACGAATTTTAGATATAAACCGATATAACAAAGGGCATATCATATAGATGGTATATCGGGCAACTTAATTAACATGTCAGTGTCACATCTTACTTCAAATTCGACACCAATCAACTAAATCTTCAGCATAGTTTGCTGGTCCAGTTTCCGCGTAATATTCTCACTTTAAAATAAACTATTTTGCTTCAAGTTTCTCATTTCGTAAATATTAGAACAATATCGTTTATTTAACTCCCAAATAGAGCATATTCAAGATCAGTGTTTTGAAAAACGACGTTCGGTCCCAATGACGTCTAGCTGTGCACTTCGTGTAGGCCACTACACCTCTCACCGTGACGGCCGCTCTGCGACTGGCAAGCAATTTGGGCAACCCTCAGCGTCGATGTAGTCTGTTTTTTTTTTTGCCCTGAAGATGGCAATGCAAACAGCAGCTTCGCAGCTACCAATTTGGAATTGGGGGCATTTATCACAAAATGCCTCAGAAAACACTTACCAGTCATCATAAAGATTTATGCAAATCAGTCTATCGCCAGCTCTTCAGAATTTATTTCAATATAAAAATGTGCAATTTCTCTTAACGAAGGAGATCCGATCTTAACACATCTACGAATTTCTTAGGATGTTTTTCAACTCACCCCAGCTCTTTTTACAAGACTTTATCTGCATAGAAATTTTTCGTCTTTCTAGCTCCACGTTTTTGTTTTATAATTTAAATTAAGTGACACTACACAGTTAATCAATTGAACTCATTAACGATAGCGAAATTTTTTTCAAGAACCATCGTTAGCAACTGATAAAAATTTCATACATTTACTACGTAACCTCAGAAACTTCTAAAGCAAAGTCAGTAAGCTTGACTATGCAGCAAACTTATAAAAAGTGTTTATTTTCTTGGGCGCAATTTTAATTTGATCAGAGATTAATTCGATTAAGATTAATCGAGCCCGCTTATGTGCCTTTTCAGCTGAAAATTGAAAATTTGGCCTCAATATTTGTTGATAATGTATTATTAAATTGGATTAATTATAATTTAAATCATGCATCAGTTGGGCATTGAAGAATTTCCGGGAACTTTGTCCGCCTATTGGAGGTCATGTTCTGAACGTTCCTCCAACATCATCTTGGATGAGCGATAAATGACGATGTGAACTCAGCGGGTAATTATTACGATGAATGATGATATGGATTTAACAAGAAATGATTCATGGTGATGTGACCTCGAAAAGTAATGATATTGATAAATGGTGATTTGAACTCAACAAAGTAGGTATGGTTATGGAATATGATGGTGTGAACTCAACTAGAATGATAATGATAAATGATGGTGTGAATAGAACTATAGGAATGATAATAGCAAATGACGATGTGACGAGAGCTTACGAGGACTCAATAGACCATGCGAGGTCATACAGTATATTCTGGTGTCATTTGTGTTGTGGTAAAATTGGCCCAAATAAATTATTTGTGTGAGATTTTCATGTTAACAAGTACGATGTTCGTCCATCGAACTAAAATAATTTAAAATTATCTCATTAGATCATCGTTATTAATTTTAACTGAGTTTTGCTTAATGAAAACATATGAAGACTCGAGGTGGATTTGATATCTTAACATTTCAGAAGAAACTTATGTTCGCATCATTAAATATATTATTGGAATTTCAACAGAAAAATTGAACCAAACAATAAATTCGAGAAAGATGAGCTTCTACAACGTGTCGGATCGGGTTCACTGAATACAAATGGTATTTCTAAATGCGATTTTCACAAACTTTTATTTAAGGACGAAGACGATTTTTAACGGACATTTAAATATTTATGCACAAAATGATTTCACTGTCACATCAAGTGACAAAAATTTTTAATTGAAATCGAAAGTGTTTTCCGCATCTGCTTCCAGGCAAGTCCTAACAACTGTAAAAAGTTGATCATTAGTTATGCATATCCTTCAAATTATTTGCATGGAGTTAGGGCGAAACATGATCAAAAGCTAAATATTAAACATGTTTGAATATTTTATAAAACATATTAGGTACGACAGTAATAAAGCTTAGGAAATGACGGTTTAAGCTAAAATGTACTTTATAACTTTAATATACATAAGTGCACGAAACGATGCGTGATGTCGACAGAAATTCTCACCTTTATGAATAGTTTGGAATTTTTTTGCAATTTTTGGCTCACTAATAATTCACCAAGTTGATGACGGTAAGGAATTAGGTTTAATTGTTGACGTTAATTTTTTTATCTGCCCATTTAAATAATATGGGCTGTTGGTTTCATATCAGTTTAGTACAGACTACAGATGAGATGATAAGACGTCTAGACTATGAAATGCATACGAAACAGATTATTATTCACTAAATCTCTTTCTAAGCGCAGTTGTCCACGTTTGAACAAAGACTATCCTCAAGAATATATATAAATATTCACTGTTAAAATTTACAATTCCCATCTTCGTACGAAAACTGTACCATTACAAAACAGTACCATAACCTACAGCCCGAGATTGTAACGCGACGTTAAATATTGACGTTTCGTACGTTCTGATTGCAAGTGGTCAGTCGCAAGGACAATTGAAGTTACAACGGAAGTCATTTTCTGAGATAATCTCGCAGCGCACGACAGTGGTGTTCATTAAATGGTTGTTCAAGGTGTAAAGGGCCTTGAATTTTTTATGTATCATAAGTGATTTATCAGAATTAATAATAAATCGTGCGTTTGAGCAGTTAAAGATTTCATTAATATATTCTAGCTTTTGCTTCAAAACACATTCAAAATTTGTATATAGTTACGTATGGGCTCACAAATAACATAAAAAAGTCTCGATGACTTGAACGTCCTAACGAATTACCTATATATGTAATAAAATTGTTTGCGTAATTCCTAAGATCAACTTATCACGACTGTGATTTTTATATAATAATATATAATATAATACAGCGGTTTCAACGTTTATTAGGCCGTAGGCCTGTCGCCGATTCTTAACATCGCAGTATATTTACAGCTTGTTGCAGTCTCGAACTCACAACTCGCTGTTCCAATTCTGCTGTGCCGCCCGGCCTCGTCGCCGATTCTGACCAGAAACTGGCGCACAGAGCTGGGATCGAACACGCACCTCTCTGCGACAATCTTGGTACTCTGAACTGTAACCACTGGGCCATCCTGCCTTTATAAACAAACCCGACAGCAATAATTCATCTTCTGTGATAAAGTTGAATACATTTTCGAGAGTTCCCCAAAGAATTCAATGTCGTGGGAAATTCCAGTGCGTAAACAAATCGCGAGAAAAAAATAGAGGAAACTGCGCGCCCTTGATGAAAGTCAAATCGACCCAGTTTTTCACTCTGCCTGCCGCACGGTATCCCAACAAAATTCGAGAAAATTATGGTTCAATAAACATAAAAACTATCATGAATTTGCATTGTTGAAGAAGATTACATCGCTCCTACATATTGATTAGAATACGAAAACGTAGCAACTTTTCGACACTATATCCTTTTTAACATAATGGTACAAAATGGCATATTCGCCCGCCAAGTACAACAGGTATTCGATGTAGAAACACAAGCAAGTAACTCACTACCTGAAATGGTAAATAAATAACTGCCCCTCAAGGTTGCCTGAAGTAGTTGTGCCGAATTATCGCGACGCATCAATTCAAAAATACTAAATTCAGCTTGATCGATCCCGAGTCTCGTGAGCTCGCTATAACACAGTGGTTCCCAAAGTGGGCGATATTGCCCCCCTAGGGGCGATGGAAAGATTTTGGAGGGCGGTAAGGAAGAAGAGGGCGGTAGGGGGGGCGATAGGGGGGGCGGCAGTCCGAAGTCGATGTCAGAAGTTCGAACGTTTGTTTGACGATTTGTACACTACACGTGCAGCACATGACTCCCAGCTATGGTTTTTTCACACAGATCTGTTTTTAGCGCATTTTCTCATTTATGGAAAAAATGCACTATTGTGCTCGCCATGTCTGTCTGTCTGTCTGTCCGTCCGTCCGTGACCTCAAGTTTTCGGCGACGAGAAAATGCGCTCTCTGTCACTCACTGCAGTGAGTACAGAGTTATATTTTTTATTTTTAGCGCATTTTCTCATTTATGGAAAAAATGCACTATTGTGCTCGCCATGTCCGTCTGTCTGTCTGTCTGTCCGTGACTTTGTCCGTCCGTCGACGAGAAAATGCGCTCTCTGTCACTCACTGCAGTGAGTACAGAGTTATATTTTTTACATATGTGTACCAAGTTTCAAAGTTATCTATCTGTAAATAACCGAAATAAAATTTCCAATTTCCAATGGAAATTTTCAATTTCTTGTGGACATTTTATTTCGATTATTTACAGACGGATCAATTTGAAACTTGGTACAGATATGTAAAAAATAAATCTAAATCGTGTTGTAATTGCTTCTCTATAGAAGAATTATTCAATGCAAATAGCCCATACAGCATATTTTTGGGAGCAGCGTGTTGGGAGCGACTTCTTTTATTCAAACTTATAATCTTTACAAATCTTATATCCAAACCAAGTAAATTCCTGGCGATTCATAAATGTATTTGTGTGTTAGGATTGACATGCACATGAACTTATGCATATCCGCCTGTTCATGCTTCTTCGGATCCTACTTAGAGAAAACATGATTTTCGAGGAACCATCATGGTTTACAATTATATCCTTTCCTATCGCTTCAGTGATTTTTAACTTTTCCATCTGAATAATTCGGAACTTTAATAGACTACTATTATATTATAGATTAAAATGTATTGTTGTTTTTATTTTTATATAACCTTTCAGCTACATTCATTCAAAAAAAAACTGCGCTGCAACTTCTCCACGCGACAAAATTTCTTCTCGCTTCGAATCACCGACATGTGGAACAGCCTCCCCGATGACATCGTTGGCGGTCCNCTGTCACTCACTGCAGTGAGTACAGAGTTATATTTTTTACATATGTGTACCAAGTTTCAAAGTTATCTATCTGTAAATAACCGAAATAAAATTTCCAATTTCCAATGGAAATTTTCAATTTCTTGTGGACATTTTATTTCGATTATTTACAGACGGATCAATTTGAAACTTGGTACAGATATGTAAAAAATAAATCTAAGACTTTTTTGCTCGTGTGAATTTTCCGAAAAAATGAAAGAAAATGTGAAATTCTTAGAAAACAGCCAAAAATGGGGTAATGTAGAAATCTATCTCCTCCTAGGATTTTCAAGCTACAATATCGAGACGCATATCATTCGATGCGTAAGAACCGTATCTATCGATTGGTCCCTGCTGTTTTCGAAATTCTAATTCTTGTGGGTGGGGTGGCAATTTTCGAAAAAATTTTGATACCCCCCCCCCCCACCCTTTCGAATTTCCCTTCTTTTTCAAAATATTTCAAAACTATAACGAAATTGAAAAAAGCTACAACCAATCTCTAGATCTTTTATTTGCTAATCGAAGGGTATATCTCTCATTGCTGTAGCTTAAAAACTCTAAGAGATAGGTTTGCAGTGACAATAAGTGTGAATGTTCAGTAGAGCACGACAGAGTCCCGAGCGCCTCGAAATAGGCATTCAAGGCGGCATGGATACAAGACAAGACGTTACTGGAGCTGAAATTCAGTCAAGGATGGTGGGAACGAATGCATGAGCACCATCCCACACGACAGCAGCCGGATAACTAAAGATCAACGTCTTCAGACGTCTATTTATGCGCCCGGCCGGTTATTTTCGCCTATCTTAAATATGAAAGAACTCCCCGACCCCTAACCCTTTCGCGATCTATCGTCAAGGCATAAATCAACGTAGAGATGATTTTGGTACCGTTAGATAGGTCAGAATGTCAGCTTTAAGGTGAGACTAAAAGCCGGAAAAGTGACATTTGCGATTTTTGACCCAGAAAATCAGGCGGTAAAGGGGTAACTGCGACGTGTCAATTCTTCTTTAACGCAAGCAATCTGGAACTTCTTTCCCGCAAGCAACTGCGACGTTTACAATCTTCCTTACCGCGAGCAACTACGAGGTTCCAAATGTAACAAAAATTGATAACGATATCACAACTAGTTTGTTTCGTTTTGATTGAAAATAGCCTGACGTAGAAGGGCCCAGCATCGTTTGCCAATACACGAAAAATCCGACACCTCCAGGACGGAGCGCGCCGGAGCCTTGCAGTGAATATGATGCCCGCCACCGACCCGTCTATATCTGCCCCGTGTGTCGAATCAGCCTTCGGTCGAACGGCCACTCGTCGAAGGACGATAAATTTTGGGACAGAACTATGCTATCCGAAACCTTACCCCAGATTATGTAAGTTAGGTAATTTAACGAAGCTGCGAAAGTAACTCGTCTAAGGACGATAAATTTTGGAATAGAACTATACTTGCTGAAACATAACCCCAGATGCTTTGAGCTAAAAGTGACCGTCTGTTGGTGCACGGCAGGATTCAGGCAGTTCCACTGTCGAGCTGGGTTGATTGATCGCAGTCTGGTGTCAGCTAGTTACAGTTCGAGCTAAAGTCAGGGTATGAAGTGAAGATTCGATGTAACGCTCAGTGGTAGACGATCATTACACTCTGGGCTATTCGCTTCAGAATATGGTGGGCGTAAAGCTCTAGATATTCAAAACAAGATGTCTTGGCTATACTTGCTGTAGCGATTGGTAAGAATGAGGAAGAGTAGTTCCGATAAATTCGAGCTCACGACATATAGATTGAGAAAATTTAGCTTATCATTTCAATGTTTCCAAAATCCATAAATTATCGGAATTTTTAGCCTCAAAACTTCCTTCGATATGACCGAGTGCCTTATAATGCACTATATATAACGCACAAATTGTAGGATTGAAACAAATAATTAGCTTCTCGTTAAAGACCAAACAACAGGGCTTCTGTTTGCAAATGTTAAAAGTAGGAGGGACAGCCACATACCAGGTCATTTTAACAAGGTTTGGCCTGATACCTAATCCGACATTAAGTGACATGACGGCGAATTGTTCTGAATAACCATAACAAATCTGAATACCTGGCTAAACAACGCTGGCGACGAACTTCGAGTGTGTAAAGTCAGAACTAGTCAAACGTAACTCAAGTGGGCAAAATTAGGATAATGATTACCATGCTCGCGTATATTTTGTACTCATTCCAAAATTTTACAAGTCTGTTCCATTGATTCCTGACACTCGAAAATGAAATTAATTGCTTACACAACGTCGAATTAAAAATAAATCACCCAGACAAATAACCTGCATAGATCTTAATAAACAGACACTTAGAAACTCATTGCATATGTTATTTACTACTCGAGCGCAAACTAGAAAATAACGATATTAAAGGAGTATAATGCTTCGTGGAAGCCATACGTCGAAGAGTATTTATACTTATTAGTTCAAAATTATGATATTTATGCAAGTTGAGAAGTAAATACAGCCAACAAGGGAACTAAATTGTGAATGTAAATCAAAAGAAAATGAAATTCAACCGTAAAAGAACGACAATGACGAGACTCCATGACAATAGGTAAAAATCAAGAGAGTAACTATAAAACAAACAACAACTGAAAAACGCAAGTTTGAGCTTAAATCAATACACAGGTACATTCGGCCACAATTTACACGTTCTCATGAAGACAAAGACACTGATGAAACAGGACTTTGTATATCAATGATGAATAAATTAGGCTCTCTCGCCACGGATGCGTCGTGCCAGTTGGATGTCCTTAGGCATGATGGTGACGCGCTTGGCGTGGATGGCACACAAGTTGGTGTCTTCGAACAGACCAACCAAGTAGGCTTCTGAAGCTTCCTAGGAAATGAATAAGCACATTAAAAATTTAATCTTTTTGGACTTATATCTAATAATTGTAGAATGGATATACTAATAGATAAGCTTGAATCTATTCCGTTTTTGGTGCTACAAATTTTGAATCATTAATGCAGAATAATGAAATGCTGCGACCAAAAGTAGTCTACCTCAGAAGATTCATTTATATAATACTGCAGTTACTGCTCAGTATTAGAATCAAATTCTACATAAAAGTGGTTTTGATTTATAAAACTAGATTGCACCATTTATTTATGCTTCAGATTTCTCTCTGAATTTTTACAACCATTAAACTTTAAATTTGATAATCAACACAAGTGAGCAAATTGCAATCAAGGCATAACCCAATTACTGGCTAACTCGAGTTAATGATCATTGGTGATTCAGGTCATTCTTAATATCTACATGCTTAAACCTGAATTACATAAAAATCTATGTTGACAAAGTTACAAAATTGCTTAAAGTTCAATAATTACAATTACAAAGAGACAAATTAACAACCTTGTGCAATATAAATTATTGAATCAGTGGATACAGTGAAAATTGAGGGGAGCTGAAATAACACCCGAGAAAGTGGTCTTCTCAGCATCCAACCATCAGAATTCCTTTATATCGTTTCTAGACAAAGGCAACAAAATAAATAATAAAAAAAAACTCCATCCTACCTGGAGGGCACCAATGGCAGCGCTCTGGAAACGCAAGTCAGTCTTGAAGTCCTGTGCAATTTCACGCACAAGGCGCTGGAAGGGCAGCTTGCGGATGAGCAGCTCAGTGGACTTCTGGTAGCGACGGATCTCCCTGAGGGCAACAGTACCAGGCCTGTACCTGTGGGGCTTCTTCACACCTCCGGTGGAGGGCGCTGACTTGCGAGCTGCCTTGGTGGCCAGCTGCTTTCTGGGGGCCTTACCACCGGTAGACTTGCGGGCTGTCTGCTTGGTACGAGCCATTCTTAGAGTTTACCTGCACAAGGAGTGGTTATTAAAATTTGCAAGATTATAAGTATCAGATAAAATTTTACAGGCTTTTTGCTGGAAGCATAAGCAACTTGATACGAGCAATCAATTAAGATACAGTGGAAGTGAACTTCAGTTTAGTAAAATTTGTAAAGCCAAAGATAAGATTGCAAAAAGATGATAAATGATGGTTTGCAATCAATCACATCGTATGTAATATGGATAGTAACAACAATGAAGGTAAACCAACTTGAAGCTTTTTGCAAGGGTTGTTCAAAATTTCAATTATAATACCGGTAGCTAATAAGCAATTGTGTACCCCCAAGGAAATGTAAAAATAATTTTAATTTATTAGTAAAGTTCTTCATAGGAGGTATCAAGTATAAACAGCTAATTTTTCAGACAATTCCACATAGTCTGAAACCGTGTTAAAAACAGCCTATTAGGCATCTTGCTACCATTTGATTGAACATTCTACGTAGCACAATAAAAAAGATTCCATATTTTATTTTCAATAGAACATGTTTTATAATTCAGATTTATTTAGAGATTTAAAACTTTCAAGTTCAGCAATCAAGTTTACAAGATGCATACAATTGATACCAACATGTTCAATGGTCTAAAGATAAAAAAAGATAAACTCCAGCAGCCTTGAAATCACCAATGTAACGTTTCTCTTAGTCTCTTTTTCGGTACACTGTTAATTTTCTCATTTACACATTTGACCTCAAGATGAATATTGTTTTAATAACCAAGTTTGCTCATGGGTAGAGAGAAACCATTTCTCAAGCTAGATTCAAGAGCAAGTACAAGCCAAATAACCTACTCACTGGGTAACCTACTGTAAATCCCACTCGGCAGTTACTGCACTTGACTCACTGCTTATCAAAACCACATAATACAGGTCAGAGATAGAAGTTATAGTTTAAATTTTGTCAAATTGCTACATAATAACCAAGAAGCTTCATCTATCCTGCTACTTGAAAGTAAATGGAAAATTGCAAACAAACTAGATTGCTTCTTTTGAAGGCCAGCAAAATGAGTAGTGGAGCTATGTTAGTGGTTTAGATGGAATAATGTGAAAGAAAAGAAAATGTTAAGTAGATTTATATTTTCCAGAGCATTAGATATTTCTAGCAGCAAGTTGGAAATACAGTGGTTCCTGGGTATTCAACTAAACAATAATCAGGGGTTCTTCTGAAAAAAGGGAGACTGGGGAACCACAACAACAACAACAACCACCAAAAAAATAATGTACAAAATGCATCAGACCTCAAAGAGATTTATGCTACTCTTATTAGCCAAGTCAACCCTTCTCAGCCAGCAAGAAGCATCAATGTGACTCAAGCAGAGTAAGACGTACATAGTTTTTGCCATCAGAGTAAGACGTACATAGTTCTTTTAGAGCATTTCTTCCCAGGTTTACTTTTTGTGTTGCTCTGGGTTTAGTCTAGCCTTTACATATCACCGTTTATCAGTATACTACTGGTATTACAGAAGAAACAAGAAGCCTGATGATTGCTAAACAAAAGTATTAAATAAACAGCCAGTAATAATATAATAAAAAGTCTAAAGACAGTAATAAGGGCAGGCATGGAATATATCTACTTGGCAAGCCGGCAGCTGCGATTGAATATTTCGAGCCATGGTTTTATGGATTTGCCAGCTGTGATCCATTTTTTCAAGCCGTGGTTCCATTTTTCGACCAGTGAATTCCATATCTTGGCAATGAAAAGCCATTTACAAGGCACAAATTGATTTACAAAGTCCTTGCACATGTTACCCAAATATCTAATTTTACCCTAAAACAGTAACAACAACATTTGTCTTTACTGTAAGTTGAACACGTTAATGCGGTCTGATGTGACCGCAACTATGCACAATCTTCAACAAAATGTCTTTAGGTTGACTTGTTTAAATTATGACGATTACGTTCTGCAGGATATTTTGGCAGAAATAAAGTAATCGTGCGGATTGTGGAAGTGGAAAATTTTATGAAACGACACATTTGCGTAGTGCAAACGGCAATTTTTTCAATCGAACAAAAATTCATGACATACGATCCGTGAGATTTCACACCTACTCAAAGTATATGATATTAGAGCCGCAATATTTCAGAAAAAATAGGTTTTTTCTACCGAAACTAACCAAAGAAGGAAATTACAGCAAAATACGAGGTGGTGTATACTGTACAAGTGTCCAAAGAACCTTGCATTCCAGTACAAACCATAGTCTGGCATTTACTGCACAATGCACATAGACATTTACATCTTCAATGTTGTTCAGTTCAAATATATGTGCCGATAATATTTTGGCTATTTTTATTAATGGGTAAGAACAGATTGCAGTAATAATAGGTACTTTACATTATTTTTGATGGGAAAATTGGTTTTGGGGTTTGAACAATTTGGTCATTTTGGTGCATCTCAGAATTGATTAATTTATGGTAGAATACCATTTATCAAGTGATTCAAGTCCAAGGTACTACCAGTATGGCCAGTACAGCCCTACGGGCACTCAGTCTCAGGCAGTATCACTGTTACTGTAGTGGAATAGGACAATGGGTATCTATTCAAAATTGATCCAGCTGATTCAGTAGTTTTTTTTTAGAAAAGTTTAGCCAAGTCAGCAAGTGGCACTGTGGCAAAAAAATGTGGAATCATGTCTATGATCCACAGATTCCACTCTGTGTTCTACCTTTACCTAATCCTACCTAGGCTACCCTACCTACATTTCTATCCATAAACTGATAAAGTGTCAGAATTACAGAAAGAACAATAGTAGGCTAGCCTATTCATTTATATTCATTAATATCCAATATAAACAAGCCTGCCTACCTACCTACTCCACAATAATTCCAAACTGTAAAATTGCAATTATGTTTGCAAAGGCTATTTTATTTATACAAGAAGCTGACTGCAGAATTTATCAAATCCATACTCTTGTGCACAATGCACATGCTTTCTGTGCTCTCGTAAATCCCTGCATACCTACCTAGTTCACAATCATGTAGCTAACGAGTATCCTAGGCACCCTAGCAGACTTACCTACCTAACTACATGATACATCATCGCTACATGTCTCACGAATTTTCAACAACATAACTCTTGAAGAGTTTAAATGCCAATAAATTACAATAAAATCGTTTCAACTCCTAAAATATCTGGTTTCTACTCATTAAGTTATAAATTACGTAGCGAAATGACTTCGAAAAATATTGATATTTTTTAAAACTCACTTGCGTAGGATGCACCTTCCTCGATAATGATCGTCGAACTGGCCGTTTTCCTCACTTCCTCTCACCTCAACTCCTTAGTTTTTTGGCGCCTCTAGCGTTGCCAAATTGAAAACGCGGGAGTTTTAAAATGAACATACAAGTGCAAGAACAATCGTTGAGACACTTGAGAGATTTGAAATTTCAAATAAAAACTGTTAAGATTCAATTAAATTGAAAAGAAATTTCAGAATATTTCAATTAGCGCTGTTGTAATTAAAATTAATATGATATATAGATTAAAAATTTTGAGCAGCTTTTGAAAGGAGACTATGCTCTGTAGACTTGGATCGAGTAGATCGTTTCGAAAGTTTGAATTATTTCAATCCTTAGGTACGAAGATAACACGAGCTCTAATTCGCATGTAAGTTTAGAAACTATATTGTTTCGATGAATTTATGTGACCAAATTTGTTTTACAATGAATTTAATTTTCATGCAGCAGGAACATTACCAAGTAAAGTTTAAACTATTGAAGGACTTATGAGTGGTTCAGTTGCGCGAGTTCGCAGGCGGGTTCGCAAAAGTGTCGATTAAGTCGTGATTTCGCTGTATGCGTGTGTAAAGGTACACGAAGAGACTCACAAGGACACGAGGAAATACACGGAAACACATGAGGACACAGGAGACATCCAAAGACCCATAGTGAAACGTGGAGGCATGCACCTTTTCCTATATAATATCAGCTGTTGATGCGGTCGTAATTTTATCTTTCTTCAACCGGGCCGAACCATCACAGCAGGGTCGAAAAGTATTCTAAAACGAAAAGCCATTTTTTTATGTCACAACATGCGCTGGCGACGGTTAAAATTGACTAGAATCGCTTTCTTGTGACGCAATATTCGTTCCGTAAGAGCTTGCTTAGCCTAGGTCATCACTTTCTTCAAATGAGCGTTTGCGTAGTTTTGCTATCATATCGCTACTGGAAATTCTCTAAGCTTTGGATTAGTTACTTTCATCTGGCCAAGCTAGCAACATCGTTGTCTAATCTAGCGATTTTAATTTGTTCAACTTTAACGCAACCACCAACATAGAATGAATAAAAATTTCGAAGGTTTAGGTGCGTCTTTATCAAGCTATAATATGTCAGTGGATATTTACTCAGTTTTATCGGAATAAACTGCGAGTCGGTGCATTCTGCCAAAGTAACAGAAGTCGCTTAGTTCCGTCAGCAACTGAACAAGTCTCGATTCAACAGATTATGATGATAGTTTTCCTTGCATGATGGAGGAACGTTCCTGCACCATGGGCACGATTCATTGCGTTTCAATACAAAGCCAGGATGAAATGGCTAGGGAAATTCTCTGCAACGACCAAGTTTGACGGAGGCAAATTAAATGCAAAATGTGCGATAAACGAGCATTATTTTGTTTGCTCCTGATCATATACACAATAGGGGATCAATAGACAATTCAACTTTTGTATCGTTTCTTTTTAATAACATTAATATTAGGACTATTAAAAATTACAAAATAAAGCTAATAAATCGATTATTCTAAATAGTTAAAAATATACCGTTTCAAAGTTGCATTATACTTATAGATTGAAATTTGTTTCCCATTCCACTAAGTTCCAAAAAAGTATTTAGTATAAAGTATTATTTGGTTAGTTTCGGGACACTTCCTGCCGAATTCCGAGTCAGTATAATGCATGAATACCATAACAAGCGTTTTTAGTCTAGCTAAGGGGAGTAGTTTTCACGGACCTAATCAAGTACATTAAATAGTTTATCGTTTCTCACGAAGAGGAACACATCATGCACAAATTTAAATAGGAATTGGTTCACATAGAATTATTGGATTATTTTAAGTTAAAAATTACATATTACAAATTTGTAAGAGCTACACATCCAATGAAAAGAGATCGGCCACTCCATAAAACTTGGACAATATTCTAATATGTTATCGCCTGCTTTAGAGATTAATAACACTTCTAGGACTGCAATGTGTAGATCAACGAATCAATCAAAATTCGACCGTTACAGGTTAATCGTTTGATGATTAAATAATGGTTTTGAGTAAATGGCCTCTGAAACCAAGACTTTGAAGGTTGTTAACCGTGCAGAGAAGAGAAGTCCAAGGTTTTGAAATTATTTGGTCCGTTGTCCAAGGTTTTTCCAACGGGATTTGCAATGTATGATTAATTTAGGTTGGGAAAGAAGCAATAGTCTACTGAAGAAATCAATAAGCAAATAATAATAAATTTGTAGGCGCTAATATATTTGAACACAACGTCACCTGGGTGGTCAACAAGATCTATATCATTATTGCAGCCTAAACCATCAAGAAAATAAAAATTATAAATTAAACGGGGCTAACCCTAGAAACGGATTCGTTTACATTGTTTGCTCACGATTAGTTATTAGTTCACAAGGACAACAACGAGGCAACACACGAGCACGAGCATCAGCAATGCTGACCAGCCAGGATTAGAGGACCGGAGTAAGTAGTAGAGGAGAGGACCACGCAAAAAAATAACACCAAGAAATTCCTTTTGATAAGCACATGGAAATTAAGATGTCTGAGTTAAGACTCACTCGCATGTGGGAGGTTAGCAGTTGAGGACAGCTAGTCACAACAATTGCATTTATAACAAAATACATAAAGGAGAATTTGAGCATAAAATATGAAGTTTGATCGTTGAGCTACGACACTGATATGAAATAATGTGATTATTCTACGCCGCCATGTTGACATCATTTTTGAAATAATTGAAGAAATACCCATGTTCATTATTTCATTTGACGAGTTTAAATATCGAGAATATTGCTTAAAAAAGTATCTATGCAGTAACCGCCTTCAAAACATCGTTAGTTTTCAAACCGTGTAACTCAAAACCTCCTCTTTTGTATTAACAGTGAAATAAGCAATAAAGAATTTTCTCTCCAACTCCCATGCATAGACAATGACAACAAAATCCGATTCAAACATAAACCTAAATAAGAAGAGCACTTCAACAAATATCAAACTATAATGCATTATACAAATAAATAACCCTACAATTTGGTAGCCCGGTTTCATAAGAAAGAGGATAGAGATTTACGTAGCTAATCATACATTGATTATATATGATGTATAATTCTAGACATCTAATTTAGTATGCACTGCAGCAGTGATCTTTCATAATTGCGCTATACGGTTTTTTTGCACGACAGTATCAAGTAGAGCGCAGCAGTTTATTCCTCATAAGTTAAGTCAGTACAATGTACTGTTATTTTTAAAGTACAGCAGTTATAATGCTTCAACTAGTACTATGTTGTTAATTAGAACCAAATATTTGATGACCAACACCAGCACTTCAAAAAAGTTAGGCTCTTCAAGTTGGTTGCAGCGGTATTGATATGAAAATTGTAGACTTGAAATGGAATGAGGAAGTAAGATGTGAACAGCTTCATTTACTTAATTTCAGATTAAATTAAAGAGATGACAATAATGCCCATACATTCTCGTTTACAAATTTTCCAACATAGAAGTACAAAAATTAGGAATAAACACAAAAATACTGACGAAAATTGCACGGAAAACTACTCAAAAACAATAAATGCTAATAAATAACCAGCTCGTTATAAAAAGAAGAGCAGTTAGGAGATGAAGTTGTCTCACTCGCAACGTTGAAGCCGAAAGGCGAGGTTCAGAAGAGCCTATAAAAAGCGTTTTGAATTAGTAATGCGACTACCAGGAAATCTTTCCATCAATAGTGAAACGGGAATTTCGAGCCTTGTTTAAGAATTCGTGAATCACAAGTTTCAAGTTTTAACGATCAAATGACTAACCCAAGTTTTCAAATAAGAAAATTAGCCTACAGTATCTTGAGAGCCAAAAATTGTAGATAATTCAGAAAAAAAATTAAACTGGAAGAAAAGACAGTGCAAATTTCACGGTTGTAAAAGCATAAAAAATAAAAAATTCTTACTTTTATAGAATATCGCAACATTCAACATCTTAAAAAAATAACATAACACAAGAACAAAAGGGAAAATTTCACGAAGCAGCATGAAGGGTTCATCATATTAGCAAGACCTCGGACATGTTAAGAAGAAGACTCGTCAAAATGGTTGAGGGAAGCCTTCGAAAACGGCTACAAACAACACACACTCAGTCTCGCCAGCCACGGTTCAAATTATTACAAATACGACAATAAAGCTACAATTGAATATCCTAAATACACGACAGATAAGACAATTTATTTCTTCAGCAATTGCTACTATTTGTAACAGTTAAATAGGCCTTAATTACTTTTATCATAGAGCGAGTTGCACGGGGATACAACTATTGTCCAAGTGAAGAATATGTCGAGCAAATCGAATCAATTTATACTGAATGCAATCTGAGCTTCCACGTGATTCATTACTGCTGTGAAGCAAGCATTTTTGAACTTTGTATAATTACATGCTAGATAATATAAAAAGTACATTGAGTTTTTTCGCATCAAGGTTATTAGAAAACGAGATAGTAGCTTTCATTGGTCACAGAAGACGAATGGAAGGAATGTTTATTTTTTCTAAATATTAGATAAAATTCAATTATTTTGGCCGATTACCACCTCTATTCGATTAGGATTAAAGCATTTCTAAGATATGAATCATAAATCTACTTATTCGAGAGCATGAGAAACATTTGGCCCCTCATCAAAAGCATTCGATGATCGCTTCTGAGGTTCAAACGGCTACGGAGGCTAAAAATTAAAATAGAATTACATAAACTAAAGCAGTCACATGCCGTCGCCAGGCATTCATGAGAAGTCCGAGGCAAGACAAGGTAACGAAGATGATCTTAATAGAAATATGCGAGCATAAGATCTCCATCTGAATTCCTTATAAGAACGATTTGCACGTTACAGGTGCACATTTGCGAATGGTAAAGCAGTAGGTACGCTATGCTTGAGAGATTCTACACTAGGCTACTTTAACGGGTCACAAACAGCCCTAATCTTTCCAAGTTAACACTAGATAATAATTTACGCATCACCGCTATTATTTAGACACCAAATTTACGTGGCAGTTATTATTTAAATGTGAAGAATGCAAGGGAGTTCCAAGACAAATGCACATTTTTCATTATTGAGCGCGAATAGAGAAATTTATTCTAGGTTAACAGCAGTTCCCACCACGAATAAAAATTAGAGGATGTATCACGTTGTAAAAAAGCTAGAATTTACTTCTACATTTCACAACAAAAAACACCGCAATACACTCAAAGATCTAAAAAGATGTTCCTGAAAACTTCAGGACAAGTCCAAATTCAAATTAGCCTTATTAAAAAGAGAGAGTTTGCTACGATTACAATTTGAGACCAACGATGGGAGTTTGGAAGCAGACATATTATCCGAGTGCAGTTGGCCGCTAAGGTGTTCTTCTGTCATTTTAATCAAAACTCGCAACTCAAGAAAGGAAGAAATTCTTCAGTTACACACATCTTAGCCTTGGCAAGACGAGAATCTGAAATACAACCGGGGAAAAACAACGTCCATTCCTGAACACGATGTATTTTACCGACAGCAAATTGGCGGTCAGTTCACATAAGCCCGTGAGGCGAAATGCGGCTTGGAGGTTCAATTAACCCAGGGGTGTTTCATACGAGCGGTAAATTGGTTGAATTGCACAAAAATCTAAACACGGTTTGTAAATTCTCCTTTCTTTGTTCTTATTTGGCCAAAGGTCTACATTGCACAGCAATGCGGGTATTCATAGAAAACAGGTACAAGCTACACACATACACAGCGATTTAATTATACAGCTTTTCCCGAAGGTCGGGCCTTAGAAATGCATCAGTTTGAATCAATTAGGAGACAGAGAGCGTTGGCAGACTGACAGAACGTCTATATACGTGATACTGGATACGTATAATCTCAACTTTTCACCAAACAATTGGTCAGTCAATCACGATAACTGATAGATTTGATGCCCGAAAATAAAAAGGCCCCCAAAATCGCGGAAATTCGGTTTGAAACCGCTTATAATTTGGATCAAATTGAGTTCCGCATCGCTATTCTATTCAACTAAAAGCAAATGAGAATACCTGAAACAACGATATTTTCTGTACCACAATACGATAGTCTGATAATAAATTGCAGTGATTGACTGATGTCTCGGAAGGTAGAAAAGCAACGGAATAAATACAAAGAAGAGCAGCCATACAACGACGCCTGGCGTTACCAGTTCGGCACCTTCGACCATTCGGCTGGTAGTGAAATGTTGTTCAGAGCCTGAAATTCAGGGAAGATGTTATAAAAATAGAAAGTATTCTAATGTCATTAGGAAAAGTTACTTTACTAAATGTAGAATATCAAAAAAGATTAAAATTAATCAACTTATTATTGCGTTGAGGAGTTGCACTGATTATTTGTTCATAAAATTTTGCAGTAATTCGTTTAATATTCTTGAAAAGTTACGATCAAGATAATAATGTAGGCACACATACAAAGAATAACCAGGTGACATGTAATGTAATTTATAAAACATTCCCACTGCAGGAATAATTCAGTAGGAGAACCCATGGACGGCTTCAGCTGAACTTACAAATAAAAATAGACGATCTTCAAAAACTGCTGCCTTACATGCAGAATGAACTCAAATTTAAACAACACGCCATTCGTAGAATGGCGTGTTGTTTTTATTCAGTAGCCACAGAACAGTACCTTATCTACGGCCTCAGCATCCGAGTGTAGCTTGGAGCTGAGCTGCTGCAAGACGTGTCTGGGCAGCTGGTCGATATCAGTGAGCGGGTTGAGTACTTGCACGTACGGCGCGAGCGTCTTGCCTGCCCTGCACGCCTCCAGCTCCTGCTGCGCCGCGCTCAGCTTTGTAAGTAGCTGAAATAACAATTTTTTATTTCTATTTTCAAATAAATAATGACAATTTTCATAATTTCGCATACGGCAATGGCGCTGATATTGTTTTGAACATGCAAATGATTATCAGTTGGGCCTGCTTTGGGTTATACATGAAAATCACTCAAAACATCCTACCTAAGAGTGATGAAAGCAAAATAATCATCTAGTAGCCATTACATAAGCTATATCCGGGCTACATAATTCATGTCCGAACATTCAAGTAGAAAATTACAAAAAGTTTTCTTGCTATGGTCTCAAGGATGACAGGGTTACCTCTTCTCTGGCTTGTTCAGAAGCTTTGATTTTCCTGTTGGCCTCGTCGACTTCTCTTTTCCAAGCCTCACAAGCAGTCCTAGCTTGGGCGATGCCCTCTTCCCAGGATGCCAGTTTGGCTCTGTTTGTGATGAGCTCATCTCTCATTCTCCAAATATCAGAGTTGGTAGCACCTCCATTGCCATTATTTGTGTGGAATAGAAGAGGCGACTGCGATAGAACAGAGCTCTGATGCGGAGACATACTTGACATGCCCATTGAGGCGCTATGGAAATTGTTGAAGAGACTTGGGGCTGAGGTGACGCTTGTGTTGCCTAACGTAGGCGCTTCAAAAAGGTGATTGCTGGAGCCGCTGCCAGGAGCTGCTGACTGTGAAATGGTTTGACTGAAACCAGCGCCCGCGTTGGTCGTAACGCCGCCGCTGCCATTAGTGGCGCGAAGGAACGCTGCAGTGAAGTTGTTCTGCAAAAGGAATGAATCAGACGTTATTTTTTTAGTACTGGGCAGTCTTAAAATCCAGCTTCATATACTGTTATTACAAATAAAAGTGGAGCGCTTCATGCAAAGAACATAGCACCAGATATAAGATGTAATTATATAAGCTTCATTATGCAAGTAGGTGTGCTCCACAGCATTTACCTAAAACATACGTTAGCTATTGGTACATACCAACAGGAGCAATGTGATAGCAAAAAACAATAACATTTCATCAGGATCGTAGATTTTTTTAGCCCTAAATACACTTGTAGCTTAGTACGTGAAACTCAGTGCTTCTTCAAGAAATAATTAATGCCGCTATTGCATCTGTTCTCATGAAAATTCAAACAATTTGGTGTAATAGTAAAACAAACTCGAATAGAAGGAGACGTCAAAGACCAAGTATTTAAAAATAGACTACAAAATATAAAGAGAATTAATTGAGAACTTTACTTGGTCCATGGAGTTAGTGGAATGGAGAAACGAAGCATGTGGGTTGAAGGCATTAGACGAGGGTGAGGACGAGAGTTGCTGGTGGTTGGAGACGACGCTGGAGAGGCTGGCGAGCAGCGAGGAGCGCTCTTGGAAGCTGTTGACGGGACCAACGCTCGACTTGCCAGGGATTGTGACGGGCGTACTGCCGCTGATTAGGCCTGAATAATCGTAATCCATACAAAAAGAACGTGTAACAGAAATAGTCTTTCTCTATTCAACAGCCTTTACCAATCACGAAATCATATCCCAAACTTTTCTACTTTGATGTCAATAGTACTAATGCCATTGAATTGAAGATTAAAAAAGTTGCCAAAACCATTAAGATGAAAAGAGAATGAATTGAAAATTAAAAAAGTTGCCGAAACCATTAAGATGAAAAGAGAAGATTACAAATATTATTGGAGCCTTGTGATTTCATCAGATAATTGACAGCTTGAGCAGAAATTTTGCTGCAGGTACGAGTAGACCCGTAGTGTTGTAGAAAAATCTAACAACCCAAAAACATGTGGCTTAATAACTTGTATTTAAAAATTTGTATATAAACAAGTTATTATCATACAATGTAATGAATGGATTACAACTTAAAACGCTTGCATTTCAGAGACGCGATCGAACGTTATCACTCGGTAACTTGAAGGGTGTGACTATACTTGAACAGAGTTAGTTAAGATGCTAAATATATATACGTACAACTATTGCTCACCTGATGACGCTAGCCCAGTATTCAAAGACGAGGATATAGAATTGAATTCAGGGTCAATAGCAGCTGAGAGGTCTGCTAAACTCAGCTCATCTAAAGCATTGCCTGCAAAAAGAGAACAAGATTATATAAGATTGAGAGCAACAAATGCAATAAGAACTGCCTAATATTAAAAAAAATTACAGGAATGAATATCAAATTTACCGCAGCAAAAAATAAACCTAAAACAAATTTAATCACAGAGAATAAAGAGATAACCAAAGAAAAAAAATCAAGAGGCAATATTATTCACACTTAATATGATGAGATAGCAGACATTACATTTCAAGAATTTCCCACACGAGATTCACGATTACAATTCAACTGAGAAGGCAATTATTTAATAGAAATCTACTGAATTACTGTGGTTGATCCTAAAACTCATTAAGCAAGATAATTAGACCCGCCTAAGCGCGTTTGAAGCAAAATTGCACTTTTTACTGAAAATTACAAGCAACTACTTTAATATAATAAGTATAGTAAACTTACCCACAACAGATTCGACGGTATTGCTAGTTGGATAAAACGGAGCAGCTAGAGGCGACACGGTGCTGGCTATAGATGACATGACACTGCCACATCCTACTAGGTTGCTGCCTGCAAACGAGCTATTCAGAACTCCATTACTTAAAACGCTAGAATTTGATCCACTAATATTTCCAGAAAATAAAGAATTGCTGCTTCCCGGAGGGTTGGTTTTTCTTTTCAACTTCTCCAGTGCCTCTAAAGTGTTCCTATCGGCAGCATTCTCTTTGGCAGCAAGCTGTTTCTTGAGGTTGGTCTCTGTTTCTCTTTCAGATCCAGGAGCCTTGAGGTAACTATTGTTCTGTGGAGGAGGATTGTGCATAGCAAAAATGCTCGAGTGATCCTTGTTTGGCAAGATATTGGAATTGATGGAGCTTCCTGAGAAATGTCGGGATTTGCTGCCTATTGGAGGCATTGCATTGCTTAAGTGAGACGGACTGATGAATCCATTGCTTGTGATCCGTGGTGACTCCGTCATACCGCTTGTACCCTGCGGCAAATTACATGCAGCTCAAGTTATTATGTAGTTCAATTGTCAAGTTAATCGAAACATAATAAGTTGGCTCAGGACTTGCAAAGCAAAAGAAGTTTGGGGTTCTCTATCTTAAATCAAATAACTTGAACTTTGAAGCATGTTCAGTGGTTCAAATTTAATCTATAGAAACATGAACTCAACATTGCTGAGTCCTGAAATGGTACGGTGTAGTGGTTCCCATTATACCATCAACAAAAATTGATCCATATTCCAGCAAATTAATTACCTGGGATGAGTTTTTAGAGTTCTCTGAGGATGGCATGGGTGGATTAGAAGTAGAGGGCGAGGTGAGAGGGTTGTCAGGAGGGAGGGCGGACTGCAGGATGTCAGCTAGACTCGTGCCAGTGCAGTTCTCATTTGCTGCCGTCTCACGCACTGCTGTCATCTCCTCTGCAAATTCAAACATTGATGAAATCATGATGCTATTTATTAATTGGAGAGAATTTCAAACTATTTGATGGATTTAATCTATTATTTTTGAGCTCAAATCAATTATTGGACAAGATTATCTAAAAACACCACGTTTACTTTTATTTTTGATATATAAAAATGTTAGAAGTGAACCTAACGATTGGATAAATTTAAAAATTATTTTAAATCTTCAAGACAAGGTGAAGTAATTCAAATAAAGTTATAATTAGTACATACTAACAATTTTGACAGATTGATATTTAATCAGTCATACAAATTAACACGACGGTATCAAAACAAAGTAACCTTTATTATCTCGACACACAGAAGCAGTAACTAGGTAACTAGATGATACAATTTAGCATCAATTTAAAAAACCCTAGGCGTTAACAGGCACTCACGGTCAATGTGAGCGAAGGCGCAAAAGACGCCTCTTGGACAGTAGCCAGTCTGCTGAATGTCATTGCATTTACTGCTCTTGTAAATCTCAGGATGGAACTGCTGCTCGGTGCGTGTGTGGCAATACTGGCACGAGTCCCCACTCTCACAGTTGCTAGGTTCACCCCACTCATCACTGTGCTTTACATTTGGGCAAGCCGTTGATCTAGAATAGAAAAAAAATGACAATTTGATTCAGAAAATATATAAATCAGAGAGAAGTGAAAAGAAAGTATCTCTACAAAAACTAGCTTCGAGACATGCACATAAACATAATAGGACTTTTCTTTGATGCATTGAAAAATACATATATACAAAATTCCTGAACATAAAGTACACAAGAAGTAGTTGGTGATACTGGTCTTGTTTACTCTATCATAAAACACTTGAAATACATTATCTTGAATAAAGAAAAAAGGAGGAAATAAATAAAAAGGCGTAAAGGCACTGGTTTTAAATATAAACAGAAGTTTGTATGTAATATGAGGCAGCAAAATCAGATCCCTAAATAGAAGTATTATTAACAATTAAAACAATGATGGGCAATTTAACATTAATGCCAACTACTTAGTTAGTACTAACCTGTACTTATATTTTTTAGGAGGTCTCCTTCGATCTCTAGAATTGTGATACTGTGGACATGCATAACCCTGACGACAGAGGCGTGGGGGCCGTTTGCATTGCTCAGTTTTGTAATTGGCCAACACAAATGCTGTGTCTGCAACAGGGTTAGATTTATTAGTACAGTTCACATAATACAGACATGTCTATTAATCATAATATTTACCTATCTTTATAAATTTTTAATTGTCTTCATTAACTGTAAACACTGGTATATATATTAACTCCTTTAATATGCCCAACTGAAGCTGGAGGGATTGGAGCTTATGATGAAACTTTAGCTAATACAGTATTGACTATTTTCAGAAAATAAATCAATGTCTTCAGTGAAACCAACTAAACACTTTCAAATAGCAGGTAATGAATCAAAATTTGAAGATGATCATGCTTACCTTGCCACCTAGGATCATCATTAACCATATTTCTCTCTTTATCTAAACTATTTGGAACAACTCCTCCGTTGGGACCGCCTGGGCTGCCTCCGTTGACGGATAATGAGCTGTCTTGCATCAGCAGCTGCTGCACACCCTCAGCTGTGAGCCCGCCTTCCAAACCCTGGTGTAGCTCACGCAGATCATAAACTGCTGGTCTGCACACAAGTAATAACATCGCAAAATGAATTTGAAAATTGAGTGTTTTATTCTAATGATGGGGATGATCTGTGATGTAATTGTTCTACATTCATTGAATGCAACATTTCAAAAGCTCACTTGAAAACCAAACCTAGATGGGGTGTGCAGGTGTTAATGAAGAGCAATGCTAGAACAGCACAAGATCAATCAAAATACTCAAAATTTCCATTTTGATTCAGAGGATTTTAAAAAAACTGTGACAGCATTATTGACATGCATAATAAATCTACAAATGCACAATTGAAAAATTTGACACAATTTGATGATACATAATGATGATGCATCATTCTCCTAGAATAAAGACAAAATTTTCAAAGCAAAAGTATCTTTTTAAACATGAATAATAGGAGTTATAAAAGAACTTGCCTGACATCTTCTACACCATGGGCAAATGCACAATGAGCTCCATTTTTGACACAGAAACCTCTGACATCTGTGTCATGAACACACATGCCAGTCTTATAATAGCGTAGATGATAGCGGCGTTCAGTGTCCCCAGCAGTGCGGTGCAGGAATGGGCAGCTAGAAAAAAAAGCAGCATAAGCTCTATCTGGTATTAGAAGCAATATATAGGTGATAAAGTTTACATAACTTATTCAACCTATGTTTGCAAATATAAAATATATATAATTTGAATAATTAGTACTAAATGGAGGAGAGAAAGATCTGGAACAAATCTAGTTGAATTATCTCAATAATTAGATGCATGTAAATAAGTTCACATTTAGCTTATGAGATGCTTTAGCTCAAAAACCTCATCTTCTACACATGGACCTAAACAATAAAAATCTTATACATGTAGTGTGATAATTAACAAAGATACTAAAAACTTAATAACAACAAACAGCAGAGATTTAATTAACTGGTCTTCAAAACTTTGAATCCATGACAGAACTGCTGGTCTCACCTCCATACCATTCAGATTTTGTGATGTTCAATATTTGCTCTTAGGAGATTCAATGCTCAGTACAACTTTATTTCAACTATATACACCTAAATTGTCCAGTTTTGTAACTACTTCAGGAATATAGGAACCAGTTGCATGTTTGCATCTCTTGACCAATTTCGAGACTTTGCTTAATTTCTACAATTTAAGAATAAAATTATTATTGGGATAGAAGATGAAAAGAATAAACAATCCTAATGTAATAAAAGGTACTTTCTGCGGTCTGCATACACCAGATTAAAAACACTGCTACACAAAATCATGTACTCTAGTAAATATAAACTTCAAGTTTTCAACTTGAACAAAAAACCTTTGAACCATAATATTTTATTGTGCTTGGAATTATTGACTTATATTAGTGACTAAATTTTTCCAAACCCTATGAAAAATGGACATTAAGCTCAGAATTAGAAGGTGTCTTAAAGTAAATATGGCAAAATATATTCACTGCATATATTTATTAGCTTAAAAGATTGTAATGATTACATGAATGTTTGTCTTCAAACATGCAAATATTTCTCTTTCAAATGGAAATAGCAAAATACAAGGTCAAGATGACTTAAATGTCTCATAGGAATTGCAAAATCATGATCTACTTTCTGGTCCATGTTCAATTAGATCAAAAAGATGGTAGTTTTATAATTTTTTACTTCATTGTTATTTTATATATAGTTTAATATTTTAACCTCCAAGTGGCATAAACTAAATAATTATTAAAAAAATATTTTTGCACATAATTGAATATTGCATAGTCTTGTGTTTCAAATGGAATGGCTCAAGATTGAATATTTGCTTATGTGAAATCTTACTAATGCAAAACCTTGCAATGAGACAGAATGCCCGTAATAAAAACCACTAACTTGAGCCTTCCAATATCAAGCTATCAGATGCTAATGAATACCTCATCGTTAGGTGCAAATATCAGGCAGCAGTGAGCAGCACTCAGCAGGCTTAGCCTTGCCCTTAGCCATCAGCATTTTACAAACAAAGCTACGTTTTTCATAAGTAGCTACGAGTACGTAGGTATTCAAATGTGTGAAAATTATTCTCAATAGCTGAAGCAGAAGCCATTGCCAGCATCTATGACCAGTGTTAATACATTTTAGTCCGTCTCATAACGCAGAATTGAAACATAACTTAATTGTCATTTATAACTAGGGCGAAAGAGACTTTGTTTACAAACACCAGGCGACCACACCCCCTCACCCTCTTTCTTTGTTCCGAAATCTGAAGACAGATTCGTTTTTTCAGGCGATTAAAATGAAGCGTGATGATATGAAAAGGAATACTTCATGCAAATTTAAAAAATTTAAAATAATTTCGAAGTAAAATAACATACAAATCGTAAGAATTGTTATAAAAATTACGTGAAAAACCCGCGAAAGGGATGATGCGATCGCGATGGCAGCTACAGTACTCACTCGTCTCCGTCGGGACATATTCCAGTGTTTTCGTCGAACTTTGTACAATAGTTATCAGGTGAATAATTAAATGATCCATCTCTTTTTCGAATTGGCCGCCGTCTACGTTGGTTGAGGAAGTGCCAATGAAAACAGGTGTAAGGACGATGTTGCGTACATTTGTGTTGAAGGAATAGTGGACATTGCTCCACTCGAAATTCCTTTAAATACCTGCCCAAAGACACAAACATTAATCAATTTCAACTCGAACTCTTCGTAATATTAGGCACTATCACCAATGATTCACTTTCATATCACAAATTTCATCACGTACGAATAATGCACTGGTTTTTCAGGCTGTGTAGTCCATAAAGATTTACTATCTTGCGACTTCATTTTGTTTTGTTTTCATACTACTGACTGTTCGCGCATCCTCTCTGCGCAACTTCAAACGTCACTCATACGTCACAAAAATAGTCAAATGAATAACTTTTTATTTTGGAAATTTTCATTGTAAACAATAATTCAGGATTTTTATGTTGATTTTTCATCGATGTTAAATATTTTTTAAATGATTTGATTAAGTTTATTGGTGAAAATGTATGATTATATCAATTTATTGACTATTATATAGAAGATTCTACTTTTACTTTAACTTGCAAGTACTGCGTCGCTGCATTTTGTAAGGGGATACCGCCAATATGATGAACATGTTCAAAATTTGTTCTCGCGTGATGAAATTTATAAGATTTTGAAATGTATGCTTGCATTATCTAATTCAATTATTTCTTAGATTAAGATGCATGGCGAATAATGGACAATCACTCTTTACACGAATATTTAGGACTTGATTGATGAGTAATGAACTGAGTGCCCATCTATGATTTGAGTTTTAAAACTAAAAGGGACGAGCAGCGTATACAGGTCCAGCTTAATAAACTTAGGGTTCATGATAAATTAAGGCAAATAGTTTGTTTATCGAAAAAAATTTACACCCAAGCTCACAAGTAGCACTTCAAAAATTGTCATTTTCTGTTTTTTTTCCGTTAACATGACTGAAAATGTCGTCCAGTTCTTTAAAATGCTCTCTATGGCGCCTACGTGATTATGATTTGCAAGGAAAATCATAACAATAATTCAACAGACGGACCGGAAAGATGGAAGTAGTATCTTATCTGTACATTGCTATCGCGGGCTTTCCATTCTCGAGGCCTGTAAATCGTGAGTGGTTGACGACTGATGTAGCTGCGATTTTCGCTTGAATTTGTGTTTTGAAAACGTGCATTGTTCAGGAGGTTACTTTCGATTTTTCGTAGGTGGGAAAAGTTAAATTTGGGCTTATTGTGTCAATTCACTGATTAATGCGGCAGTGAAGGGTTTATCTTCGGTATCATGTGTCAGTGCTGTGTGCCAAGGTCAGATATGCCAACCGTATCAAGATGCTCATTTCAAGAAATTTCTGAATTTGTCATCGCGCAAGTGCTAGGGTTGGTTTAAAATTTACCTCTGAAAGAATGAATGGTTTGCCCATATTTGAGCATCAAGTGGCTGGGAGACACTCGTCTTCGACTAGCAGTAAGTAACTTGTCCGGATAATTATTGGAAGAAGAGCAATTCATATTAACAAAAACAAATGAATTGCTATCAATAATTATGTCATGTTCATGCGCCTGGTTTATGACTTTCTGCGCAATATTTGTAATTTTTATCAATTGCGTGATGTTCTTGATTATTTTTCGTGGCGTGATGTCATTGAGATAAAGTTTTCTCATCAACTCTATCAAGATACTAATTATTTTAATGCTAAAAAATGGATTTTTTTCTATTAGATCTTCTCCGTGGGCAATATGGAAGAGTGTTGAAGCCGTACAAAGTCAAACGTCTGTCACAGGATCCCTCAACACACGCAAACAAAGAAACCAATAACATAGAAAACAAAAATTTCAGTCGGCAAGGTAAGGAGGACTGATTTATTTATTGCGTTCTTGGGTTCCCTATTAGACTTGATTGTGATCAACTGGCCTGTTGAATATGAATGACCGTATTTGATGTTTCGTAGACTTGGTATCAGAATTACACTCCAATATTTTCATTCATTTTAGCTAATTATAGCTATATTAAATTGATATCAATGAAAGAAAGTCCCGCTTAAACCTCATAAATATATAATTCTCATTTAACTCAAGTTTCGGACTCGGAATGAGCTTAAATTTTGTAAACCCTCGAATATGAATCAAACCTACAAGTCTTATGAAAAAATTAACATATGTAACCTTGCTCCTTTCGTCCCATTTTCTAATATCTTATGATTTCTCATCTAAAAGAATGTATGCCTACTCTAGGTAATTATCGACATTCGATATTATATGTATTGTGGATATGCGGTTGCATTGCCCCTATATAACTTTCTAAAATGCAAAATTTATCAAGATATGATTGTCATAAATGTCTTAAAAATTATCTTGTATAAGTCTAACTTTGCTATTTTCATTTTTTCTTGTATATTTATAAGTTCTAAAGAAAGTAAAATTAAATTTATTGGTAAATGTTTGAAAATCATGAATGTTCATGACCGCACGCTATGTACAGGCGTAGTGTGCGAGGATGAACACCAGTTCTATGAGCTGTGCAGGCAGCAGGGACAGGAGTGGGCTGCGCTCAGGGAGCTCATGCCCGCATACTTCGGCGAGACTCTCGTCCACACCGACGGAGTCCGTGCGTATTGCGGACGATTTCGGCGCTATTGCTGACTTTACTATTATTATTTAAATTACTATTGTGGTTTTCTCGTCCTACTATATTGTAATATTTAAAAACGATACGAGTATTGTAAATAAAAACTCTAATAATAAGACAACGGGAAGGATGACTTGATTATGAACCAAATATCAAACAAAAAAGATAACTCAATTAAATTGATTGTTGAAATCAATGCCAGAAAAAAATCAATTGGCTGTGAAGTTGTAATTTGATTCTAAGGGCTGTATGATATTACACGCAGCAGTTATGATAATAATTAATGATAATAAGCTGAGCAGCTACGCGTTACGTGGAGCTCGAGGACCTGACGTGCAGCTGCGCCGTGCCCTGCGTGGCCGACCTCAAGATGGGCACCAGCGTCGACTACCCCGGCAAATATGCGCGCAAACTCTGCCCTGAGAAGGCAAGTGATGCTTTCTGAACAGTGGTATGGGTGTTAACATCTTGATATTTTGCTTATGTATATGTTATACATCTCATTTAATTCTCGTTGTAAGATGTTCATTTAGTACTATGGACATATGAGAATGAGATATTCACACGTCCATGATGAATATTGACTTCAGTGCTCCTCTATCCATATATTGCAACTCGAGTTCTGATTAAATCAATCCTTGTACACTGAAAATATCCATTATGCTGTTCAAGTATAAATAAAGATATTTTGAAGCGACGATTTGGTTTGAAATAATATTATTATTCTCTTTCTAATCACTGACATGAGTGCAATTGTTAACTTAGGTGAAGTATCCGAGCTTAAAGGAGATCGGGTGGTGCATCGCAGGCTTACGCAAGTCGTCTCCAGGGGGCGAGTTGCTCCACAAGTTCGGCCCTGAGACTGGGCGAGAGCTCTCCACTGAACAGGTCCACCGCGGTGAGTGTTAGGGCTGGGATGGATGGTTAGGAACGAATGTATCGAATGATATCGATATCATCGTGAGGAAATTGGGGGATGGATGGTTTAGGAACGGATATATCGAATGATATAGCCTATAGGTATCATTGTGATTAGAAAGGGGGTGAAACTGAGAGGAATTTAACCCGGAGACCGAACAGATGAGAGGTATTATAGGAAAATTGTGTACCTTAGATATAGGGTTAAGTCTGCCACCCAAGTAATGTGTTACTATGCATTTGTTAAAAAAAGAGGATAAATTATTTCGTTGCCTCATGAACGAAAAAGCTGTTTTGTAGAGTGTGCCCCCTCTCTAAAAAAGTTTCAGATATACCTATAACATATAGAATGAATCATGTTGGTGAAAACAATATGGGTGAAGTTTGTTTGATTTTTTTAGGCAGAAGTCAGGGCAGAAAATGAGTCACATTTTCAGTGTCTATTGCAATGGAATGTGGCAACGGACGGCAGAGGTTTTATCCGGCCGTGTATTCGATGTTCCCATAGTGGATCCAAAAGCGGTATATCCTGCAACTATTCCAGCTTGATAGCGCCAAACTAAGATCATCCACAAATGCTTTCACTTCCTTCACGAATAAATTTGTAAACGTATCATGAAATTCGCCGATGAGAATTATTTTATTTATTTCATTAATAAAACGATGAATTCGTAACATTTTCGAAATTTATAGCATAGTTTCCCTTAGAAGTAATTTTATTTATACTTTAAACTCGTTCAAATTTTGCTGAAGCTGTCGAAGCGTCAGTGCAAGTTTAACGATTTAAACTCCGCTTGCTTGGATATTCAAAACAAGTGTACTAATTTTCAGTCAGTAGAATGTCTGTTCAGACATTCTACTATTACTATTATATATTCTATATTCTACTAACTATTAGCCAAATACATTTTTGCTGCTAAAAAATTTATGTTAGGAAAAATTCTGTGAAAAACCTACTATATTAGTTATTATCGACAGAATTGGAGGAGTTCTTCTGGGGAGACAAGGGTTCTGAGAAACGACGCGTGCTGATCACACGAATAATTTCCGCTCTCGAGGAAATCCTGCGCTGGTTCAACACACAACGCAAGTTCTGGTTCCGGAGTAGCTCCATACTTGTGATATACAACGCTGAATATTTCTGCGACCCATACAGTGAGAGAATAGTCGAAGAACCGGCGTTAAAATTAGACGAACAAAATTCTGAAAGACCGCCTGTAAAATCGTGTACAGGAAATGTTGGAGAGATGGAGATCTTCCCGGAACGAATAAAAACTATTAATGACTCATCTTCTTCTCAAGATATAGTTGAGGTTTCCGGACAACGAACAGTGATTAAAGACCAAAATTCAGAAATCAATTCACCATCGCAAAAAGACCTGTCGTCAATATGCCAAAGATCTGATAAAGACGCAGGATTCGCCTCTCTTCAAAGGAAGGAGTGCGACGATGACCAGCTCATCCTACGCGTCAAGATGATCGACTTCGCTCACGTCCTTGACGCAGCGGGAGAACCGGACCATGGATATATTTTAGGATTAAATAACCTCATAGAGTTCATGAAAAAACTTTATTGATGAGCTTACATCATTTATTATGAGGGAAGAAACTCGGTGCGTGTGGTTGACGTATCTACATAACTGATCAGGTTAATTTGAATCGGTTTTATGAGGGAAACTAAATTATTATTGAATAGCGTGATGAGCACAAGAACAAATGGGCCTCGGCAATAATGCTATCAATCTGCCTATTCAATTACCAATACGACTCTCACGAGAATATTTAATGAAAAATACCGGCATTTGGAGAATGAAAACTTGCTGTGTTAGTGAATGGGAGGTAGAGGTGTTTAGTGACTGAAAGAAAGCGGTGTTTATAGTGAATTTGCTCAATGTCGTACATATCTACCTCGTCGCAGCCCAGGATTTCGGCAGTGGCAGAAGACATTTATGATGAATAATTATCGTTCAATCTTTTTGGTATATTTCTATTTTTAACATATATGTATACTGTATTAAATGTTGCGAGTTCCACCAGGGAACTTTTGGATTGTCTTTTTTTATTAGGGTTTTAGTGCAATTCTATTGGATTATTAGAGCATCATACTCATTAGAGCATCATACTCATTAGAGCATCATACTCATTAGAGCATCATACCCATTACAGTATCATACTCATTCCAGAAATGCTAATTATTGTCTACTTTAACATGGTAAATTTAAATATCTTTATCAGTTCTGAATAAAAATGAAAATCTTGCTACACCACAGTCATACATTGAAAATTAATTCCCAAAGTTTAATTTGGTTTCCAAGGTGCTCATTGAATCGCATTAGACATGAAAGATTTATTCAAGGCTTGTGATATGAAATTAGAGTAGAGGATATGACTGGAGAGACTCTTGTTTAGAATTTTATGCTTTGAAAAAGGTTAGTTCTCTCTTCCATCGGACCGAATTTTCTAGAAAGGTAAAGACATCCGTGAACCATTACATTTTCCACGCGAATTTCGTACGAAAGGTTCTCAGTAAGGTTTAGGTCCGGAGCTTGAATAAGTGGTTGAGCGATTACTGTGATTAAAAAATCCAAGCGCCTAAAAAAGCTCATGCAACGTCGCAATGGATGTTAATTTGCAAACAGTTTCATCTGAATTGCCGTACACACGAGCGACCTTCGCCCTCACTACGTTCCTGCATTTGCCGGCCATCAACAGACGTCTTCTTACACAAGGTTAAGTATGCACGTTTCATTATAGTCTAGCATGTTGCAATACACAAGGTTAATACGTCTCAGAATAGTAGGTATGTTGCAATACACAAGGTTAAATACGTGCGTTTCAGAATAGTCTAGTACATAGCAACAATTGTGCAGCAAAGGCTCCGCTCACGCCTTCTAGAAGCAATTATTTACAGTAATTTTAAACTGGTGCATTGTTTACAATTGCGCTAACAAAATTTAGTCATTTGTGGTCAATTTTTGCTGCCATGATGAATATTTCAGTAATGCCAAGTTCAATTAATTTCGATGGTTTTAATAAATCATAGAAATCACTTACATTAGAGACTGACGTTATTCAAAGAATTTTCAATTTTCAACAATGCATGGTGCTTGGGGGTCGCCTGCCGAAGACCACCACTGTTCTGGATGTAATGGACCATCATGATTCCTGCCTTCCGGAACGTAGCCTTCAACACTTCAAGCCGTCCGTATCTAGGCCGTGGGTCGAACCAGCCCTCGGTCGAACATCCACTTGTCGAAGGACGATTAATTTTGGAACAGAACTATGCTATCTGAAACCTAACCTCAGATGTGGTGAACGTAAAATTACGTAATTTAACGATGCCTGGAAGTCATTCGATCAGCGGCCTGGTGGTGCACGGCAGGTGGTGGTCAAGGCCGGAAGAGGACAAAGCCGAGTGGTGCACGGCTGATTGGTGTAGGTCCGGAGAGATTCAAGGCGTTCGATTCAGGGCTTATTGGTGCACAAAATTGGTGGTGTACGGCTGCGCTCCCGGTGCTTGGTACTGGCATTGTGTTCACTATACATCCTTTCACCATGAACTGCTATTTAATCAGCTGTTCATCTTAGCCCACACTCTGAGGAATATTGATGGTCACACTGTCCAAATAGTGACCCTTTCTTACCCACAGCATGAGCAGAGCAAATGCAGCGCTGCCTTTTGCCGGCTAACTGGGCCAGAATCACCAAGAAAAGGTCAAAAACTGTATCATTGTTTATTTAAAATCACAATAATCTCACACATGTGTCTAAGGTCAAATTTTCATCTGATCTGAAGATGCCTCGTACAGCCAAACGTTCAGAACTTGCTTTGCCTACGCAGAACAAGATTTTTTCGCTGTGAATTATAACTCAAAAAAACTGTTGGATGTATCAACTGATGAATATCAATTAATTAAGGGACGAAAAACTGCATATTTAAAGTTTCCACTATATATTAAAAATTTGGAACTTGATACAATGAGACAGGCAATGCACTAATGGCGAGAATGTCGTTATTTAATAATATTTTTAATCGGCAGCAACGGTCATTAAAAAGGGAGCAAGAAATGTTTTAACGATAAAATCAAAATAGATGACAAATAATTTGTTTCAGTTTCAAAAGATAAAACTCGGCAGTGTTCGAAGTCAGAATATGCGCACATGCTTTAATGTCATAATGATCATCTAATATGACGGCATGTTATGCGAGATCATTACGCGTTCCTTACGCCGGAGGAACCGCGCACACAGTTTCTAACAATACAAACAAAACAGCCGGTGTGTTAATACAAGGCGTACGCTCGTAACGTCACTGAAGGCATAACAACAATTAGCCAATTAGCACTTAATAAAATGTTCAGAGCGAGAATTGTTCATGGATAAGTGTGCTGTTACAGGCACGCTCGTGACCTGCCTGTCCACAGCGGCAGCTTTTGCTGTGAAAAGTCCCCCTCCGTCATGTAATTCAGTAGCAGGAAAACAATGAGATTTTTAGTCCATGTTTGTGTGTCCAGTTATACCATCGGATTGAGTTATGCAGTTTCCAGCCTGCAGTGCAGACTGTCGGTACAGTCATAGCCTTTGTTCGCTGCATAATTAGTACAGTTTGTGAGCAATTTTTGCCGATGACCTCATATTAGGAATTTAACTAATTAATTATTTATTTTAGTTTTTCCGTTATAGTCATATTTCTATTATTATTAAAAAAATTATTAAAACAATATTAAGACTTCACATAATTCGGGCAATTATTCAAAATTGATTTCATTTGCAAACGGCGCAAACTCTGTTGAGACAAGCCATTGTTTTTATTATTAAAGGCACAATTAAAATTTTATATAATATGTTACCAAAAAATGCTGAACGTTATTTTGAAAACAACGGTTAGGGACTTTTCGATTGAGTAATGATCTCGGCTGTCATCTTCCACACAAGCAGGTGATCGTCCTAAAATCCTTTACTGAAAAAGGAATTTCCATTGACTAAATAATATATGACAATTATACTTAAAATAAGAAGCATAATGATAAAAATCCAAAAAATGAACAAATCTACATAACAAATCGAACTAACTTAATCCATGCGTTTCAACACTTACTTCTCATTCTATCGTTCCCATTACTTTCAAGCTCAGTCGAGATTGGGGCAATTGGGTATCAAGTTTCGGATTGAAGATCATTGATCATAGGAGGCCGCCCCTCCTCAGCAAGGTCAGCAGAAGCAATGATAATTAAAACGTTTACTGCTTGATGTCACATCATAGGTGATAGAAGACCAGATGACGAAACAAACATCCTAAAACCTGATACACAACAACTCACAAATCATTTATAAATAGATATATATTTAACCTATTTCCTCTACAGAGCAGCAGCAATTCTCAACAATGGAATAATTTCTTTTTATGTTCGGCAGCGCTGCCGTAGGCTGGAGCATCGGTCACGTTCGCTGGGGTCACGCAATTGTCGCCGGCGGTAATGTCAGGTCGGCAGCGGCGGCGACCGAGACGTTTTCTCGGACTGAGACCGGAGGCTAAATCCAGCGTAGGAAGCTGGGACTGTAGCGCACGCTCCAAGCTCAGACTACCTGAGATATTAGCTTCCCAAACAATGAAAGGCACAGCTTGTAGTAATTATAGTGCAATGTTCGAATCAAATACAGAGGTCAAACTCAAGGGGAACATAAACTTCTTGGTATTCCATTCAATAACAATCAACAATGGCATTTTTATTTAACCCCTTTTTAGTCGTAAACCACATCCACTCAAATAATAAAGTTAGCTATCAGTGACATATATGTATGCCGTTTTTGACATTTTTATATTAAACGTATGTCCTCCGATCTAAATCATGGCTTTCGAAAATGAGATTGCAAATTTTATTATATCGATTGCGCGTTGCTTAGATGATAAATGGATAGACTTCACGCTTGAGATAATTCCAGCTGAGATTTAAGAAGCGTAACAGGAATACACAGTGATTGAGATTTATCTCGCTTCAGGTTTTAATTTTTTCTATATATGGAATTAATACTTGAAATTTTCTCATCATTGATATATCAGATAGCTCAATGACAATGAAACTCGCTCGCGCAGTAGCTCCTTACAAATGGTAGCGTTGCCGGATCATCAAACCAGGTTTATAAAAAAAGACGAAGGTCATAGTGAATTATCCCACGGATTAAAACTTTCCCTTTGCCAAGATAATATTTTTCCAACAATGAAAGCGAATGAATGAATTCCATTTTGGCTTTTTATCTGTCTTATCCGATTGGAGTACAACCGTTTTCCCTTGAATTAAATTTAAATGAAGGGTAAGATTAGTCCCCCCCAAAAATATTGGATGATACAACTTTTTACATCCGTGGAAATCGACGGATTTAACTTCTGATACATTAACCAGTAAACGGACTGTTGAGTTTTAACGTATTTAACTCATGCAAACCCACTATGCTTTAGAATATTATTTAGAAATTGTTCTCTTTCGGGCGTCAAAAATTTTCTTGCGACGTCGCTGACCCGCCCATGACAGGTTGACAGTGGCGACGATAATAGAGGTTTAAATGTATTTTGAATACATGAGATCCAATATAAATGACGTTGAAACAATATTGGATTGCCATTGATTTAAAGTCAGATGTCTGGTGGGAGACTTCATATACAGTTTGCTCATAACGGAATTGTTTCAGTTTGACAACGGAATTGTTTCAGTTTGACTACGGAATTGTTTCAGTTTGACAACGGAGTTGTTTCAGTTTGACAACGGAATTGTTTCAGTTTGACAACGGAATTGTTTCAGTTTCCCTCACGAATGTACACGTTCCCGAACGTTTCGTCGCGTAAAATATTCAGTTTTTAATGACATTAAAAATAGTCTATTACACGAATTTAATGCATAAAATTTATTTATGATGTATAGAATGGACATTCAGGTTACTTTAAAGCTCTGTATAATTGGACGGTTTCCATGAAGATCGATCAGAAATTTTTCTGCTTCACATTACGCTTTTATGAACGCACGTGCGATCAGTGCAAAAAAAAATTGCCGACCTTAATAAAGAGAACAAAAAATATTAAGTGATGAGACGCCTTGACATGCTTTATTGCCTGACGATGATTTTCACAGAAAAATTGATAAAATATTTGAGAAAGTTCATTGACAAGTCATTCGACAATTTCGAGCAATCGATCACGTTAGTCATAATTTGCTCCTGTAAAGTATAATTAAAATCAACACAAATCAAATGCGTTTAGTATTAATAAATTACGTTGAAAATTTATTAATCTGAAATTAATACAAATTAACTTGAAAGCTAATTGTCATACGTTTTTTAGTATGGAAATCTATCAGTGTACGTATAGGACGGAAAAAACCATTACTATACAAGAAATTTCGATGCAATTTAAGTTCAACATTTAATATACCAAAGAACATTTTTCACCCCATTTCTGAAGATAGCTTATGCAGCCTCGCCGATAAAAGACTAGCAGCTTGTCGCAACACCAACACATGTTTGCGACGCTAAGTGCATGTTTTCACACCTACAGCGCAGGCGCGTTATGCGGCGGATCATTCACTGTAAGGTCACTGCAGGTCTCGATAACTGGCTTGTTTGCCGCAACACTTCTCTCCTCTCAGTCGCTCTCCGACACTTGCCCAATTAACAGCCGAGCGCCACCATTGTTGACGTCATATTCAGTGAGCTGTCAACTTATTCTATATCCGTAATATTAGCCAAAATATAAATAGGGAAATATTTTATTGTGTTGGATATTTACGTGTCTGCCTGTCACTGGAGGTCACCAGAATGGTCGAGCTGACCATTTTTAAGAAATATATGTAGAAATTATGACTCGTTTAACTTTGGTATGGTTTTGATTTTCATTTATATGTTCAAGTGGCATAATAGCGTCAAGAGACTGACGTGAAGGCATGTAGTTAATTTTAAAGGTAGAAGCATATAATTTTCTCCGCCTCCCCATTTCGTTCAGTGGTAGGTTGACTTGAATTACAACTTTCACAATTTCAGTCATTCGGTAATTAATTGAGAGCTCTGAAGTAGAGTGAAGCAATCTGTAGCTCAAGAATATCTTTATTATGAAATAAGTTAACTGATAAATTTTATATAACGACTATTAACTTTGTTTATTAACAACACTAAAAAAATAGCATAAAACCATATGATAATAAAATTTTTAAAATATATTGAAGCTCAATAGGATCCTGAAAACTGTAATTTTTGAAGATAAATTACTCTACGTATTAACATCATGCGAAGGAAATTTTGATACTGAAGAAAATAATTATTAATTAAATCATAAATTTTTTCAGAGATCAGCAGGCGAGCATGACAGACGAGGACGGACTGGACGGCGTCTTGGGAGCAGTTAGGATGGGTCGCTGGCAACTGCTGGTGCTGCTCACCAACGCCCTTAGTGAGTACTAGTGTGGTCACTAGTGTCATGTCATTTGTGGGTCACTAGTGAGTACTAGTGTGGTCACTAGTGTTATTTGTGGCTCACTAGTGTTATTTGTAGCTCACTAGTGTTATTTGTGGGTCATTAGTGTTATTTGTGGCTCACTAGTGTTATTTGTAGCTCACTAGTGTTATTTGTGGGTCACTAGTGTTATTTGTGGGTCACTAGTGTGTAAATTGGGTCACTAGTGTTATTTGTAGGTCACTAGTGTGTTAATTGGGTCACTAGTGCGTGCCGTCATACCGACGTACGCTGATGCGAACTGCGCACAACTAGATCTGTAAACTAGTGACGATCGCATAAGAACAGGTAGGGTATCCTTATACCTGAAAAACGAGCCGATTCTAAAATTTTAAACCAGCAACACATGAAGATTTACATCCGGTAGATATTTAACAAATAAAACTTTAAATTCATTTGTCATCGTCTCGGATGCGGGCCAAAGTAGGGAAAAGAACAGTAAACAACTTTCTTATTGTCACACATGGGAATGACTGCAGTATATTGCTTGGACATAAACTTTTAAATTTGGGTGAACACCAGGTGCGATGGAAGGCCATTTTGTGAAAAGATATTGAGCATCAATTCAAATTCAGAGTGCATAGCTAGGAAAGTAAAACAAATGCGAAAGCCGCGGTTTATCAATGTTTGGACCCCATTTAACTTGAAACGAAAGGAGCAAAAGCTAAAAAAGCTGGTGCTTAAGCCGGTAAATGTCGATTTTCTAAAAACAGAAGTTTGGAAACGTCCATTAGATTTGGCAACTTTGCAATCAAGGAAAGACAAGCTATTGTCTGATTCCAGCTCCATGGTGAATTTGATAGACTTATGTTGGAGATTAAGATAGTCAAAGAAAAGGCCCACCTGAGAGGGATGCATTAAAAATCAAAAAAGTATCGTCAACATATCGGTTATAGAAAATTGGCTTAAAATCAAGAGGGCAATTAGCCACCATGTAGCCTCGGGGGCAATTGCCCTCTTGATTTTAAGCCAATTTTCTTTAACCGATATGTTGACGATACCTTTGACCTAGTGAAGATCGTCACTAGTTTACAGATATAGTTGTGCGCAGTGCTCATCAGATTACGTCGGTATGACGGCACGCAATTTTTATACTAGGCTGGCTGAGCATAAGGGCAGGAGTTATAGAACTGGGAACCTACTTGCACATCCACCTCATTCTGCTGTACGTGTTCATGCCGAGCAGTGCAACACCTCTGTATCTGATGGTGATTTCAAAATTCTAGCTTCCGCATCCGGTGTTAGTGATCTACGAATTTTAGAATCCCTGTATATATTCAAACAGAAACCTAGTCTGCATGCCGCTTTTAGCTCCTTTCCTCTTGAAATAGTAAATAGATAGGCCGTTTACTAGCGTTAATTTCATGTCTTATTTATTTATTTCCGTTTTGAAACCTGACAGTGCATTTTACTTTACTAATTGATTTATTTGTGTTTCTAGGACTGAACTTTTTCTGAACTTTTTCAAAACCTTACAGTGCATTTTACTTTACTAATTGATTTATTTGTGTTTCTAGGACTGAACTTTTTCTGAACAGAATTTTGTGTTATGAACTGACGATGGAGCTGAACTCCGAAACGTTTTCTCTTATAAAGATATGTTGAATTTTTGTGGCATTGTCTTTGCTTTTAAATTCCTGCTTAATTTGTAGGTCACTAGTATGTAAATTGGGTCACTAGTGTTATTTGTAGGTCACTAGTGTGTAAACTGGTCGCTTGTGTTATTTGTAGGTTACTAGTGGGTAAACTGGGTCACTAGTGTTATTTGTAGGTCACTTGTGTGTAAACTGGGTCACTAGTGTTATATGTGGGTCACTAGTGTGTAAGCCAGGTCACTAGTGTTATTTGTAGGTCACTAGTATGTAAATTGGCTCACTAGTGTTATTTGTAGGTCACTAGTGTGTAAATTGGGTCACTAGTGTATTATTTGGGACACTACAAAAAGTCATTAATGTACTAAGGTAGATCAAGATTTCTAGTTATTTGTCTCGAAATGTGTGAGAGGATCAAGTGAATTGACTTTTTCCGAATCAATCATGTTATCAGTTAGCCTAATCTTCAATATGTTCCTAACTTTGCTGATTTATACCAATTCAATTTGAGAGGCGTGATGTAATAAAATTTGGTCAAAACATATAAGTAATTTTGTGAATTAATTTGTCACAGTTTGGTCGGTGCTGGCACCTCACACCATCGGCACGACGCTTCTGAACGCTCCTGTAGATTTCAAATGCTCGTCTCCGGTCACTGGCGTGTTTGACGGTGTTAGGTGAGCATTCAAAACAATTTATATCGTAAAAATTTATTTAATATTAATTTCATGAAAATTTACTAGGATAGAGATGACAGGCCTCCGGATGATAGACAACTGTGAACCTCTAGCCCACGAGTATATATGCTTCACGTGCGCTACAGTAGATTTGGTGGTAAATCGACCGTTGCGAAAGTTGGAGCAAACCGTTTTTTAGGTTCTACTAAAAACTTAACAAATGCTTGTAAAAACTTTACACTAACAAATTGAAAGCATCATTTAACACTTAAAAGTTAAGCGCACTTTTGATGTTCATTCGTATAAATTAGCTAGCGTAAAGCCGAAATACAACTGAAGCTGAAAAAATCGAACTTTTTCATTCTCGACGACGCCCAAACAAGACAGAAAACAGAAAGAGTATTTGATGCGCACTCTGTTTATTAGTGCAACCAATTGAGCTAAGCTTACATTACAATGGTTTACTGTATTTTACCTCGATATAATTAGTGTGTGAGAAACATTTAAACACATATATAATCCGTGTAATTCCTATATTCCGATAAATCACATATAAAATATTTTTTTAGAGGGTCAGCATTGTTCCTTGGGGAGATTTTGTGAATGGAAATATTTTCTCAATTTTTTTCCCGTTGGGTAGCGCTGCAAACAGTCTTGCCAGTACTACACTTCTACCAGACCAAAATCAATCCACCATCGCAACGACTGATGTCGATGGGTCGGCAACCAACAGCACCGACATCGCGTCATCGAACAGCACGACAAATGCCAGCAAATATTACGACAACGCCTGCCTGTCGTTGCCACCATTGCATTTACTGCCTGGTATCTACCATACCGACAACAACTCATGGGCTGTGGATGATCACGGTGAACTGCATCAGTTGGATGACGGAGAAGAAGAGTTTCTGACAGACGCGGCGACCAGAGGACAGTTGGTGGACTACGCGGTGCCGTCATGTCCGCACGTCGAGTATGATAACTCCACCTTCATCGTTACCATAGCGACAGAAGTGAGTTGTCAGGAATAAAATTTGTAATCGTTGTTTGAATTCATAGTATTTGACGTGGAAACATGGTTTTAGTTATATACACATGTTGTATGATGATGGTTTTTCAGCTTTGCATTAGATAAGAAATGACATCCATTAATAATGAGAGATTAAATTAAAATCCTTTTTTGAAATTCGAAACGTTAAATGTAGGAGTGATCATTATTATGCATAGAATTGTTACATACGATACATTTCAACAAATTTAAAATTAGTCAACAAAATGTATTGGTTGAATAATTTCAATAATTTCTGCTTTTTTAGTGGAATTTGATTTGCGACCGAACTCTGGAGCGACCGCTCTTCCAAAACGCCTACACACTTGGCACGATGGTCGGCTGCGTCATTGGTGGTGACATCGGAGACAGGTACCGTCACTTGGTAGTGACATCGGAGACAGGTACCGTCACTTGGTGGTGACATCGGAGACAGGAAGTTGTCACGCTGGGTCAGCCGCAATGATGAATAAGCCGTGAATAATTGAGTTGCCACGCTGGGTCAGCTGCAATGATGAATTGGCCGTGAATAATTGAGTTGTCACGCTGGGTGAGCCGCAATGATGAATTAGTCGTGAACAATTGACTTGAAGTGCGGCGTTGAAGAGATGAGTTGGTGAGTTGAATGATTGAGTTGAATTAGGGCGGAATCTGGGAGACGATGATGAGTCACACCTGACATATAACGTAAAATTAATGTTGAATTAAGCGTTTTTTGGTTTGATCAAACTTAGTTCAACGATGTTTCAACGTCAGATGTCTGGTGAGAACGTTGGAGTCGTGAATAATTGAGTTGAACGGAGGCGGTGAGGAAAAATTAAGTTACCGCGGTGAATGATTTAGTTGAACGTAGATTCGGAATGATGTGATAATAAGTTGTTGAGGAGAAGAGACGTAAAGTGAGGGATCATATACATAGTCCCTATCAAAGTTTTGATGCCTGTCAGCCGCTGGCTCAAGCTCGCCCCAAGCTCGCCCAACGGTGTAAATACATTGGAGGCTATATGTCCGCTTCAGGTTCCGGTTGCCGGAGCGAAATAAGCGCCGAAACAGAATCTTGTGAAATATCTGTCGAGCTTGGGGCGATCGTGGGGCGCGCGTATTTGGTACCTGATACGTTCGGGACAGACACGGCCGAATCTGAAAAATGCGGTAAAAATGCCCTCTCCCTTCCCCCCTTTATGGGGGAAGGGAGGGGGCATTTGAATCGCAGTACGCTATATGTAGCAGTACGCTAGCAGACTAGACATGTATCATCGCAGCACAATGAAGCAAGTGGCAAGTAAACACGAGTTTGAAACGGGAATAATATCAGTTAACTTAATACAACTTTCAACCCCAATTTTCCACATTACCCACAACATTCTCTAATATTTTCCAGAATTGCAAGACCCTCGCATATTGCCCGAGCAAAATAATTTTCAATATTCACCAGTAGTCAGCGTTCTAACACATTTCCCAAAACCAAACATTCTCCAATATGCAATAGCACTCAACGATCAGCATTCTCTAATATACAATAGCACTCAACGATCAATAGTCTCCACTATTCAACACCTCTCAATATTAGCACACATTATGCATGTGCGAAACATTCTAACACATTCACCCGTACCAATTGGTCTATCGAACTGATTTGAAAGAGTATTTAAAATAAAATTCTTCATACAGTGGTTGTGAAGAAGAATAGATCAAATGCTATCTTCGGAATTCCAGTAGGAACTTGTGACCTTCCTAACATTGCCATGTTGACTAAGCCTAACCATGCAGTTGAACTTGAGTGAACTGGTATTTCCACTCATGGATCATTGGATCCAGCTTTCCGATGAATTAGAAATTTAAACCAGCAGTACATGGACACGAGCAGCTAAAATATCATGATCATGTCAACATATACCTCGAGTTGAAAATTTCCATTACTACCAGTTCCGGAATCTTCTAAGCGAAGTAGAATGCCGGCAATTCATGGCGCCACTATATTCCCGTAATGTCTCGGTCTCGTACGTAAGGTCTCCCGTAAGGTCTCGTTCCTTCCCGTAAGGTCTCGGTGTGGTGTTTTTCAATGAACTCCACTTGCAGAAATGTTGTACAGGAAAACGAATACATTTCTAGCAATGTCTAGCTTTTAAAATCTATAATTTCCAAGTCCAATACTTCACAAGTTCACTTTCCCACTACTATTACAGGATTGAAATGAGCAACGTTCGCCGTTCGGCGTGTGATCTTCACCAGTTCAACTAGCAAAATAACCCCGGTTGCCGCCCGCCGGGCAGCAGCGGCAAGGACCCAAGGGGCAAGGCAAACGCAAACGAACGTGTCACGTCGTGTAAACTACTCGCCTCCTCAAGCTGCATCAAGTTAAAGAGGAACAATATTTAAACATTTTACGAGGCTAGCAAAAAATTTCTCTGCGAACATGATAAAGTAACTATGAGGAACAAGAACCGTAAAGCATTGACCAGGTTTTGTCATCAAGGTTTTTAAAACTAATGACCAAACTTTCTTTAATTCGTTCAAAAAGTAGTGAGGTGCCTGAGCAGAGTTATGTACGTTATGTATGACAGTCATGCCCAGTAACGCCCAGTAACCGCCATTGAATAAAACGATCATAATTTACTGACGGCATTATTTGAACCGCACCACGATATGATGCAATTGTGAACCTCGCCTGAATATTGACAAACGTACGCATGTACGTACATTCATCGACGCCATATGAAGGGCGGGAGATGGTCATGCTTCGCTCAAAAAACAGCTTCTGCCCAAAGAAGCCTGGCCAGCTGTTTTTTTCGGTCTGACTTCTTATATTCGGCCTATCGGGCAATCGACTCCCGCAATCGGATCGTGAATAGTCGCTGAATGCAGTTAGGTGACCTCTAAGCGCGTGATTCGCCCCTAAGCCAAATATAGCGTCACTGAGCCAGCGGCTGACAGGTATCAAAACTTTGATAGGGGTCCGCCTAACATCAGTTAGGAAGCCTCAACCCAGAACTGATGGAAAGGTTTAGTATTGGGGGAAAATAAGTGAGTCGGAAAAATAGTGACTTTCAAGTCGTGGAAATTAAATCTTCAAGTGTTACTCGTCTTTTTTGAGGGGTGTTCTAAGATATCGTTATAAAATCACAGCTCTGGAGACCTGTCCAGCGCACCTGCGTGGGGCTGTGGGGATGGGGGTGGGGCTGCCCTATTCGGTGGGGGTGATGCTCTTTGGGGGCCTGGGGTATGTGTTGAGGTCTTGGCGCCATCTCTACATGGCTTCCAGCTTCCCCGCCTTCCTCATGGTCCCTGTCAGCTTGTGAGTCATCACAAATATCATGCACAAATATCGTATTATATTTGTAATATATTCGTGAAGAATTATTTCCAATAAACAGTGGATAACGGCAGCTTTTTAGTGAAGACAAGGAGCAGGGAAAGTCAAAGAGCAAAGAAGTGCTTTAAATTGAGTTAAGGTGAGGAATGCATATTCAATTTTTGAATATTCATTCATAAATTGTAGATGTCAACTAGAGAGGGTTATGATAGTTGATTCTTGCCTTTTTGTTTGGAAAAATTGATTTTTTAATTGAGAATTCGCTGCGGTTAAAGTTTTGCCATCGCAGAATAGCATAATGTTATTTATACATATTTATATACATGCTGAAATAATAATGTGAGGGGAATTTTCCCATCTAGTTTACTGGACGAGTCTCCCCGATGGCTGCTGCAGAAGGGCCGCCTGCAGGACGCTAAGCAGGTCCTCAACAAAGCTGCTAAAGCCAACAGAAGTCAACTGCCGCCGGAAGAAGAACTGGACGCTCTGCTGCAGCAGATCTCTCAGGTTCTGTACTCACTGTCGAAACTGCTGCCTCTAAATGATTATGAAATTGATATAAAACTTCCTATTTCGAATAGATGTGCATTTCTAAAATTCTCTAGAATTTTTTTTCCATGCGTGACAAAACCTGTGAAATTGCGAATAAATTAAGCAATTTTTTTCACAACACGTTCACTAAGAGGATGATAATCTTGGCTTCCAATATGACATGTGTAATGTTCGAAGTTTTAAGGCTGAATAATTTGACGTAATAATTTAACTATAGATTGCTTAATTTTCGTTAATTACAGGCGAAAGTGATTTTGTAAATTCGTTCCCAAGTCTAATTCACTTTACTTACCAGCAAGAAGCAAAGTCCGAAGAGGATACGACGAAGGCAGTGTCTCTGAAGGAACGCCTAGCGGGCTGTATGGCGGAAGTGGGTTCGTTCGTACGCACACCTGCGATGCGGGTGATTAGTGTAGTCACCCCCATCAACTGGGTCTTCAGTGAGATCATCTACTACGGGATCATCTTCAACGCTAACAACTTTGCGGGGTGAGGAAACAAGAAGAGGCAGAATTTTAATGGCAAGGACCTGTTGGGTAGGAGATTTACCGATTTGTGATCAATCGACTCGTGAATAGCAGACGTTTCAACTTCCCGATCCTTGCGCCTGCCAGTATGAACTTTGTTGAAGTGTATGTTGAAGTGTAACATGAAGTGTAGTAGCTTCTTTAACTGCACTCCTGCACCTGCCAGCTCCAACCCGTTCATGTACGTGGTGCTGACGGGCGTGAGTGACGCGGTGGCCATCATCATCGGAGCGCCGGTGTCGAATTTGATCGGACGGCGCCTGACGGTCGGTGCAGCGCAGTTCTTGGCCGGCCTCCTTACGATCTTTGTGCTCGCCGTGCCTGACAGTGAGCGCGACATTCTACATAAAACTTTATATATGTTACGCAATTGATTCAAAGAAATGCATCTTATGGCAAGAAAAGTATTTGAAACGAGAGATACCGCAATTTGAAATCGAAAGTTAAAGGCCATTTCCAAACAGAATTACACTATTTGAATTTGAATTCAAGGAAGTTAATTAGTTAGTTAATGTTCGGTTCAGCAAAAATTCACCATTCAAGGACTGGAACTTTCCATGATTAAAAGCTGAGGAATAATATTAGACTATTGAAAGTAATATCGTGCACGAATGGGGCTCAGTTTCTACTTATACTGGATAAAATAGGTTTTTTTAATGTTTTCACACAGAATGTTTTCGTCTCTGAAAGTCTTTTAGATATTTGTACAAATATTTGACTTTGTTTAACTTGGCAGCGTTGTGGTGGCTGCAGTGGGTGCTGGTCATGGCAGGCTTCCTCATGTCAGCAGCTGCCGCTCAGGCGAGTTTATTTAATTAAGTCCTGAATGCTGTATAACTTGTCCATATAATTAAAGTATTATTATTTGAACGTTTAACTAAGTACGGAGTTCTGTGCTTGAATTTCGAAACATTTGGATACTCAGAAAAAGAGATTTGTCATGGTTGGGATTCAAAGGTATAGACAAAGATCTTTTGTCTGTAGAAACATTAGTTCTCACTATTTTTTAGTATAATTTGCTAGTTATCCCTTTTTATGGAAGGAGTGATTATATTTTATTGCATTCGATAAGTTGAAATATAGTTAATTTTAAATGAATTTGGTTAGAATATTATTTTAAATTGAACTCGGTAAGATTAAGGACATTAATTCCAATTTATACTAAATTACAAATTCAACTTTAAACTAGAGAATCATTATAAATCATTCAGGAATAGCATCTATATAGCAACAAGCTATTTTGTGGTTAAAATGTAAAACGAATAAATAAAGGTTTGACAAATTATATCACTTTGAATATTGTGTTTAAGAATTTTCTCTATACAGGAATGTAGGCTAATCACGAGCGCTAAATATTCTCTTGCTCAATTGGAATTTCCAAAAAAGATATTATAGTAAATCGTGAACTCGTACTATCATTTACAGCCTAATTACGAAAAATACAGCGCATACTCAATGCGTACTCTAGTGTTCATAACAACCTAGTAGTGCACAATGTATAACACATTGAACGTGTACACCACATATTAATTGCACCCACATTGCCGTGGTATATCAGCTCCTGTACTTTTACGTGCTGCTTTATTAACTCTTCACTTGTGCAGTATGCACCAGATTCTGTACGCTTACAGGCTATTCTATTCACACAGTTCGTGCCTGTGTAACAGATACTGTATGATTACGTGCTGTTTTATTCACTCTCGACTCACTCATTGTGTACCAGATTCTGTACGCTAACAGGCTATTCTATTCACACTCAGTGCACTGTATAACAGATACTGTATAATTACGTGCTGTTTTATTCACTCTCCACTCACTCATTGTGTACCAGATTCTGTACGCGTTCAGGCTATTCTATTCACACTCAATTAGTGCACTGTATAACAGATACTGTATAATTACGTGCTGTTTTATTCACCCACCACTCACTTATTGTGTACCAGATTCTGTACGTGTACACACCAGAGCTGTACCCCACCACGCTCCGTGCTCGAGGCTTCGCTTTCTGCAACCTCACGGGATACGCGGGCGCTTTCTTCGCGCCGTTCATCCCAGAAGTTCTGGTAAGCTAATGACATCACAAGCACACTCACAGAAATGAATGTGACTTTGTACAAATAGATAAGCTCTTTTTGCCTTAATTTAGGTCATCCTGACCCAGTTCGCCCAGTGCTACTTGGGATAGTGAATTTGAGCAATATGATCCCTTCATTCTGCATTCATATGAATATCAATACAGATTCATATAAATCATAGCGTACAGCATGTCTTTTACCCAATGATCTATTATAGTGGTTTGAAGGGCTCACACATGAAAAATAAATTGCTTTGAAAGCTGAGAATTTGCTTGAATTTAGATATACGCGAGGTTTGGTAAGGTATGACAGAGTTTGTTGAACGTGCAGGCGAGTCTGGGCTGGTGGGTGACCAACACAATCCTTGGATCAGCTGGCATGCTTGGTGGAATTATCATCCTCCTGCTTCCCGAGACGAACCACAAAGTCCTCTGTGAAACTGTGGAGGATGTGGAACTCAGAGCACAACAAAAGAAGGAGAAGAGAAAGGAAAAGAAGAAACAACAGTTGAATGAGAATAAAATTACGGCGAATGACATAACTCACACGGTGCTGGGCGAAACCTTAAAGAATGGCACGACCAACCAGAGTTTTGATTCAATGGAAGAAGCTCAAGAAAAAGAGTCGGATGCCAGTATAGTACGACGACTTGTTTTTGGTGCACCCATTAACCCAGCACCCAGGCAACTGAGTGACACCAAGCACAGGTCAGTGAGCAGCAGCATTAACTGCCTGCTTGAAACACCACAAACTCTGTCCACCAATTCGTTCGGAACGAAAAATTCTTCTCCTTTCGTCCAGTCTAAGAGAAGAAGAGTTCTTGGTGTTGATAACGCCGCATTCAACACAAGTGAATCTCTAGCACCAAGAGCTTTGAAGGATGAGAAGTTGCAAAGATGATATGCTAAATCAAACTACGTACAAACTCAAAGTTTAAATTCGGCGATACTAGAAGTACTTTGTACAAATTTAAATCAACCAGCTTGAAACTTTCTTTCTTTAACTATTTGATCGATCACAGACAACTTACATCTGAGAGAAATTATTAGTTTTAATAAGCCTCAGAAAAGTTGGCTAATTATAGCAGACGCTGTTGTCAGTATATTTTTAGAATAATTAAATTTAGACGATTTATATGTTAATTTGCAGTCAGTTTAAACGCTTTTGAGTCCACCAATGGATAGGCTAGGAGGGCAATAATAATAAAACTAAACATAAAAATTTTTTACAATATTAATTACGATGAATAATAATTGTTGTTTTAACAACTCGTTGAGTATGCATTCATCTCCGACAAATCATGAAGATTAATTTAACCATTCTTGTCACTGTGTCGCGCGAAGATTTACCATCATTTGAATGCAAGAGAAAGATCACAACGTCTTACATGCACCAAAATTTATCTTCAATAGGTGCCCGGCCATCCCGTTTCTTTTTTATGCTATTTTAAAATATTTCTGTAAACGAAAATAAAACGCATCCGTCATTAGAACTCGGATTCCTTAACTCTATATAAACGCAAATAAAATACATATAATCATAAATTTTCCCGTTATTTTGGTATTCTGAGGGGTAGAAAAAATATTGTCAAATTATTTTGAACGCTTTTAAGTCGAAGTTTTGATACAAGTTATGATTTAGGATATATTAAATATAGTCAGAAGAAACACTGGAATTGTTGCACATTGAGAACTAGAAGGTTTGTTGAAATTGGTGATATTTTACACTATTGTTCACAATTATGTTCAAAATAAAGCTAAATTTAACCGGTTTAATATCAATTTGAATTTATTCCAGCTTTTCTTGTTGCTCTTGAGGTTCTGACATTCTTTTTAGCTAGAATATTTAAGAATTTATGTATGTTTCTTTGTAGTGTGAATTGAATAGATTAGTTCCCAATAACGAAAGTTTAGAAATAGAAGCTAATAATTTTCAATTTTGCAATCAATTCGGTCTAGGCGAAGGAATTCTGTAGGTACATTTTATTTGTTCCCTATCAATGAATTTGATAGTTTCCCAAATATCATAGAACTTATGTAGATTTAATAAAAAACTTTTTAACAAAAGCAAATAAATTCTCTGAAGGATTGCGTATATCGTCACTTACAAAAAGTTGAAGTTTTGTATTCTGATTGGAAGGATTTGTACTGGCCACAAATCCTTCCTTGCTATAGACAACAAATTTCTATAGAAGTATAAAGTATATTTTTTATTTTGTTTGATTTTTTACCATGAACGAGCCTCGTATATTCATCGTTCAGATATTCTAGTGGCGTGAATGATTTATTTTTAAGATATTTTACAATAAATTAGCATCATTCTGCTTTCAATTGCGTCATTTCATTCTCAAAGTCTCGGAAAAAGTTAGTGTATGCAAACTAAAAATAATTGCATTATATGATGTTAATTTACGAAACAATGTAGAGAAATTATTAAAATGTCAGGTATTTTACCTGATGAAACATTGCATATAAATACTTACACAGTGACCTGCTTGTCTTCTACGTCAAAACGAAGTGATTCATTTGGAATTTGAAATTTTCCTGGGATATTTAAATATTCGTCGTAAAAACCGTAGACTTAAATGAGTTCTGGGCAGCAGGCAACTTTACTGGGCCCAATGGCCTGGACAATATTCTGTTGTTTTAACATATGAAACTTCTGCGGTAACACTTTTATATAATATAAT